GCGGAAGTGTAAGGAGTTTCCAAAAATGTCATTTCCAGACTATGGAATCGTTTTTGGAAACTGGATATGTTTGCGAAATTCGGTACAAGGTCGTGTTATCGTTTTAAAATAAAAAGCGGGAGCTATAAGCGCATTTCGTTTTAAAAAAAAACAAAAAATACATCTCTATTTTAGAGAAATAAAATGGTTAGAAAGTACCTTTTGTATGCGGAGATATTCAGTTGATGTACTGCAAACATTTTATTACACATTTTATCAGACAAACCAAGAAAATAAATAATTAATTATATTACAATAATTATTAATTTTAAATGGTCACCAGACAAAAGCCCACTGGACGAAAGCGCACGTGGGCTGAGATAATTGCCCACGCGACTAATAAATACCCCATGGAGGTAGGAAAGGGAGGAGGGGCCAACCCGCGCTAAAAGTGAAGCACTGCTTTGAAACTTGGGTCACCAGATGGGGTGTTCTTTGTTTACATTCAGAAGCTCGCTTGACAAGATTCTGATAGTATTTCGACACACGACAGTTCCATAGAAATCGAAAAAGGGACACTTTCGCATGAAAGAAACATTCATAGTGTGATGGATAATAGCAATTTGTATAGTTTACTGACTTTTACGTTTACGCAAAATCACATCTTGGTTATTTTTCGATAACTAACAACAGCGATTTTGATTATGAATTTGTTTTATAAAATTCTAAGCTGTTGCACTGCAAAAAATATAGATTTTAAGAAAAATGTTATGCTTAAAGAATGAAAAATACCTTACGGTACATTAAAAAAATTGTATACTTCTTTCGATACCCTGACAGAGTATTTGCTACTTTTATATTATTTTCCAAAAGTCAAAAACGTTTTAAATAAAACAAATTTTTTTCACATCCATATATTATTGTAACATGTCCTTTTAAAATTTTTTTAGAGGAGAGGCTTCTTCTGCTCATTTTAAACCCCATCGTTTTAATTTTAATATCGAAAAATAATCACTTTGGGGCTTACACGTTTTATAAATATAAAATATGTATGTTAAAATATTTGTAATTAGGCACATAGGTCAGATTAAGTTTTTATTAAATAGAGTAACGCATGCAAGGGCTATCTGCCTAAAGAAAGAGATGCCATCGTGGAGGAATTTTGAAGAAAAACTGACCCTTGAGTGGATACTAAAAATAATACTTATAATTTTCATTCAAATTATATTCATATATATTTTTTATGTAAAACTTTCGGGTGTATGCTAAATTAGTGTAAATTACTTTACACGAAAAATATAGTGAATGCACAGAAATTAAAGATTTGCACATGCCGGAAATGAAAAATAGGAAATATGTATGGGTATTTATGCATGTGCTTGCAAAAAGCATGTATCTGCCTTTGACAAAATACTTAAATATTCATTAAATTATTTATAAATGTATTTGAAATGAAGAATTTATTCACTTATAAACAACTGTGAAAGTACTGTCAAGAAATCTAATTATTAAATGTATCTAATTTATAATGATTATAAATGTTATCTAAATATATAATAAGCTTAATATTGAATTGTAAACATAAATTGAAATCCTGTTGATAAATACATTATAAAACTATTTAAGCAAGAATTGTTCGTATTGGAAAGCAATCTGTTAAAAGGTATTGTAAAGCAAATGCTATGAGATGCGCACTTAAGAACGTAATAAAGAGTTTTGGAATATGTATTGTTATTCTTCTTCAATAATTTCAAGATGTGCATATTTTATTGCCTTGTAGAGACAGATTCAAAGCATTCCAGTTTGTCAAATATATCGCATAAGTATGCCCATTGTAGTAAAAAAGTTTGGTTCGGAAAAATATCCATTTTATACTACATTTGCATGTCTTTCCTCTTGCAGAAACGTGTGAATTTCTTGATGTAGCTCGAATGCATGGCATAAGGTATTTCCAACGAGAAAGCCATTGTGAACTGCAATAATATAGCAGGGCTGTGCGTTCAGCTCCCATGTCCATGCAAAGTGTTTTGAGTAATTTGGCTTTCAGCGGCCCAGTTTTTATGTAGTTTACTTCGTCTATGATACGTTCTAATACCAAATTCAATTCACAGCTCATCGACTTTCATGCAAGTGCTTCCCTATAGATGATGCAATGGGTCTACATGCATGCGGTGCTTTACTGTGAATAAGGGCTTGCATTCCTCCATACCTACCAGACACTGATCGATAGTACACACAGCGATACACATTTTCCAATCTGAATTATTTTCTGTTATAAACTTGTGAAGAATTTCAAATAAGTTTTGAGCTTTTGTGACTTCACTGATACTTTGACAGAAAAGACGGTCTTCAACAATTATATCATCATGTAGAAAACATACATAGCAAATAAGGATATGCATCTTTAATACTGTCAGTAGCCTCATCAAGTTGAAAAAAAATTCCTGTCCAAATTGAAACTGTCTTAATGCAATTAATAACCGAAGATTTATTTTTCATACCTATTTCTTCAACAGCTGCAGCTGCTTGACCTTGTGCGTTTATTGGCAATTTCGCTATTGGAAAACATTTTTTAAAATAAAGCTGCAGTAGATCCTATGCATTCAATGGCAGGTTGTGCTTGTAAAAAGACAGAGAACAGGCATTCTACATAAATAGTTTTTGGTCCTTTGTTTCAACAGAAAAATTTAATTTTTCGTTTTTTTTTTTTTAAATAGAACTCATGTTGTCCTTATATTTTTGTGTACGCACATGTTTGAGAACATTAGGCTTTCCACCATCCAAAATTGAAAAACTGCAGTGACAAATGGTACACATCGCAAATGTAATTACTTGAGAAAATAATAGAAGGAAAGTCATCTGTGTTCTATTTTTGAAAAGCACGAGCATTTTGCCATTTTCCCAGATATACCTAAAACAAAAGATTGTAATGTCTTAAAATATTTCTTCAAAGCATGTGCACTGACTCTGCTGAGCAACAAAACAAGTGAAATAACAACCTCGATCTTGCTTTGTGCTCATTGGATAATATATGCCAGATTGCAAGCAGTGGCACTTGATGCTCATTGGAAAACTGGAACACGACGTTTTTGGACACATATGCTCTCACTCACAAAGCAGAAGTGTGCCATAATTTTTCACTGATGCAATGCCTTGGATTTTCTTTTATATGTAAACTAGAGAAAAACCAAGTGTTTTCAGACACCCCAAATTACTTTTCTTTTTGGTGAAAATAATGAAGTATTAAGCCAAGCTACATAAAAATTGTGAGAAGTTTTAAGATAAGAGAAAGTCGGAAAAAAGATGTTGTAAATCAGGTTGAGGGGAGAATAGTTGGAACTCTGAAAAAGAATAAAAAATTTAGCATCATACTAAGTGATCTTGAGTCTACTCTACATATCACATTCATGATATAAAACAATAATTGCTTGAAAAATGGTTGTTAAAAATTCCAGAAAAAATTACTCTTTAAATGACTGAATCAACTCTGTTTTCAGGAATGCCTTTTTATAATATCAAGAGATAATTAAAAAGATTTTATTAAACATCCCAAAGGAAACCTCTTTTGAGGAATTTATAGATTTCTGTCTGTGGACTTCCTGTTCTAGTAAAATAGAAAATTGGGAGCAAATATTTGTTACAAGTCTGTTGTGCCAGTGGAATAAATGCACAGTTATATCTTGAATAATAAAGCCTTTTCTTTATTAAATATGCACACAAGTTTCCATGTGGCTATAATTTATAATGAAATAATATAATCATACATATTTTATAACAATTTCGTTTCATCTTTTTGTCCGACTGTATGCTCTGTATCTTTAATTTCTGAAGAACTAATTTTAAATTAGTAGGTCTGTTTTACTATTTAGGTTAAGGCTGAAACCGCTTTAAGCTGAAATATGCGCACCACAATGATTGCAATTTCTTTTAAATCTTATGATTTAATATTTTTTTAATATTAAAAACATTTTTGAAAATTTAATACTAAATTCTTTACAGTGTTATAACCTAGATTGAGGATTTTAGCCCAAAAGGGGTTAGCCCAGAAGGGCTATTAATTTTGTTTTGGCATTTTGCGATGAAAACTTTAAATATCTGTTTCGCTTTTCAAATTGTTGCCACTAACTATTATTGTCCTGCGTTATATTTAAAGAAATTAAATAATGAAGAATCTGCATAAATGTATGCATGTTTCTTACATTGTGATAAAACAACGGTACCTAGAGCCATCCAATTTTGAATAATGTACGTCTCCACCTGAATATGGCCATCTGGAAGCCCAAATTTGGAATTTGTTTTATTATCTATTTGATATTTTGTAAACCATTTACGAGTTTCGATCAAGAACCTCAATGATTTAAAAGCGAGCAATAGCAACACTGTACAGGGGAAAAAATTATCTCCAGTGCATGAGACTGTGTATCGGAAATTCTAAAGATATGCTCTTTTAAATATTGCTGTTGAACTAAATTTTATGGTTTAAGTGTGAAGAACATGATACTTAATAAATAAAGGCAACACACAAAATGTTAAAAAAAGGCCCCTTTGGGCGTAATAAAAAATCTCAAAACTTTCAGATTTTTTTAAAAAATTAATTTGCTTTTGAACTGGTTTTTATAACAATCCAACTCAAATTCTCAGTTTTACATGCTTTGACATACTGGGCTGCAACTTGAAGATTTTAGATTGCCCTTTTTAAAAATATTTTTATGGTAAGTGTTTTTCTCTAAAACAAAAATTATTTTCCTTCAGAAAGATTTGTCTGAAAGTTATAACTCTATAATCAATATCTTATTTGTACATTAATTATGTAGATATATTTTAAATACTACAGCAGACCTCAATTTTTCCATTAGATTTGTCGCGCAGCTCTAGAAACAAGCAAAAACTTAATATCTGCTACAGAATTACTCTATGTGACATATGCATACTAAAAATGCAAGTAAATTGACACTTTGTTATGTTCTGCAAGTAGGAAAAATTATTCCCACATGCAATAAAAATAAAATTTAAACAACAAAAAGAGATCAATTTAATCTTTATTCCATAATGATTTCAATTTTCATACAAAATGACCTAAGTCAATAACTAATTACAAAATACACAATTTACAAAATGTTTTGTCAGAGAAATTGAAATTTATTACATATTGAAAAATGACAATGAATATTCATAAAATTATGATAATGAGGAGAAAATAACAATTATATATGGCAAACACAAATACTATCTTGGCACAATCATGTTCAAATATTAAATTAGCAACAAATTAATATAAAACAGCTGGGCTATGTAGTTTGAAATGCACAATAAAGCATTCTTTATCTTGCTTTATTATACATATTTTTATATAAAAAGCTTAACTGCAGCAATTTCATTAATGTTTAAGAGCTATATTTTCAATCTGTTGTTTAGAAGCAAATTCTATTTAAGTAGACTAAAAAAAGATGTTGTATCATAGTCAAATAATGCGCAAATACAAGATTTTATGGAAGGAAACGTACTAATACTTTTAGAATAAATTTTTCTAAATGTATTTTGAAAACTATATATTGCAAATATCTATATTAAATTACTAATTATCAAAACTAATTTTTGACACTGCTCAAATATTTAATTTTTTGTTTAAAGAGTTTTTTTTATTAAATGACTATGTTACTAGAAATTAGGCTTTTACTTGCTCTTTAGTGACTACTTAAAAAATTATTAAACAGATGCCTTACTTCTATAGGCTTATATTTACAGATCAAAGAAATTAAAATTCAGCAAATTAATCAAATATATATAATATGACATAAAATCATCTGATGACTTAACTGAATAGTTCATAATTTCCAGCAATCAGATCTTTCATATAAATTTTAATACTATTCATTTCACATATTTAAGCATTAAATACATTAATTCTCAAGAATAGAGAATCCCAATTCTGTTATTTAAATAGAATTAAAATTATTATTAAGCAAAGATTATTAATGGCAAAGATTTCCCGATATTTTAAAACTTAATTTACTATAAAAATGTTGTTAATGAATAAGCAGTCATGCCTGATCTGACTGTATTTAAGAATAATTACTTCCATTTTTATTATTCTGATTACTGCTTATGATAATTAAAAAGAAAACTATAAACTTTAGTACTTCATTTAACCTTTAAAAATAATTTCTTTATAATAAAAATAAATATAAATAGGTATAAATGAAAATAAAAATTTGAATTTAAATTCATAAATGCATATTGTACTTAATTGGCTATTACTATAATGAATAACAAACCTAAAAAAAAACAACAAAAACAAATGCACTTTTGAACTATAAATATCGTTATCCATGAAACTCTACCTTATTATAGAGCAGGAAACGAAATTCTGAAATTTATAACAAACAGATCTATAAAAATTTGTATATAGATTAGAAAAAAATGTACCCTTACAAAATTACATCACAGTTATTCTGGAATAGGACAAGGTGGAAGAGTGATTATAAACAGTTGATGCTGACATATTGATGTAAAATTGTAGTCAACTTATATATTATTAAAATAACTTCATTTCAAATATGAAGTTAAAATTTTCTGGAACACTTCCTGCCAAACAATAAATCTGTCTATGAAAATGGATGGAATATATATAACTGTAATGCCTCCAAGCCAAACCAGCTCTAATGCCCAAGCATTTCGAAATGAGGCATGTTTCATTTAAGATCTTTTGGAATGTTTATGAAATTTTCTGGATGAAAATTAAGTGTTATTCCTTTTGCATAATAACCATATAACATATAAAACAGATGTAAATACACACAGTATGAATATATAGCATATTAAGAAAAATGTAGAAAAGAACAATTTAAAACAGAGTTGAAATAAAATTTTGCATAAACTAGCTAAACTAGGCAATAAATTATTAAAATATATGAAAAATGCATGCCTCACAAATGAATGTTAAAAAGAAATGTAATACATGACAAAAACCTGTGCTTCTAAAAAGAATTTTACACATAGTTAGGCCAGCAAAATAATTAGAATTAACATTGCAATTTCTTACATGATATCACTGCTATATACTCAAATTAATCCTTTTCATCAGAGCTGCATTTCAATTTTTTGACACAACACTTTTGCTTTATATACACAGTATGATTTAAAAACACACAGAAAAGGGTGGGGAAAGCTGACAGTGACATAAAAAATGGCATTATTTAAACACTGAAAATACATTTATAGTAGGAAAAAAACATTTTATTCATCTTAAAGTTCAGTGGTCATCACAGTGCGACGAATTGTTGTTGGATTCTCTGAAGTTACTCCATTGCTACTTTCTACAAGCCAAGGAGATAACTGAGAAGCATTTGAAGATACCCTCTTAACTGCCTGGACAGAAATATCACGATTGCTGGCGGAAGATACAGAACGTGTAACAGGATTTGCTCCAGCAAAAGATGTTTCCTATAAAAGTTAAGAGTAATTTTGAAGTGCCATATATATATATTTTTACAAGGATTTTAAAACTGGAAGAAAATGAATTTATTCACAGAAATAAAGATTTTTAACTTAAAAGACAATGAAAGTAAAAAATCTGCTAAAAGCCTGCTTTCCTCTGTTATAGCCCATTTTTATGATCAATGTTCTGCTTGTTTAGATAAATTTCTCATATCCCTAATGTTTTCACAGTTGAATCCAGATAAATCTTCACAAACTACTCTTTAAAAAAAGAGGGGGTGAAAGATTTCAGACTTTTATGCAGTGCAGTTTCCAGATTTTAATCTCTCATGCTTCAGGTCATAAAAGACAAGCACATTATTATAATAATGTGCAATCAAAAATAATATATGCATTGATTTCATGAATTTTTCTAAACACAAAATTCATTAAATTTGCAGAAAATGTAAAATAAATAAAAAATATCAAAATTTTGGCTTGAAGATCCACATGTTCACATATAACACTATGTTCATATGCACATTCAAAATTTGGCAGTTTTGATGCCACCTTTCGACAACATGACATACACCTTATAAGTTCTTAATTTAATATCAAACAATAAACAAAAGTTCAAGGTGCCCCACTAACAACCAAACTTGATATTTTGTTAATAATTTTAATTATAATAAAATATTGCCATCAAATTTGAACAATAACACAGTCATTGTGTGAGAAATGAAAAGTGTCTGTAGTGCAAGGCTTAGTTGTCATACACAAAGCAGCAGTACGCCAGCCAGATGGCATATCTAGCCACTCTGTTTCCTACCTAAATAGACTTTTGATCTTATCATATTTCTGTAATTTGACTGGAGATGACTACACATTACCACTGTTGTTTGCGTGTTAGTGTACATGTGTGTGTACAATGGGGAAAATGTTTCAATTTATTCTGGAACAGCAAGTGTTTATTATCTGCACTTATTGGAGAACAGAATCAATTACGTCATATCAAGGACAACTCCTGGAGAAGGTTAATAGCAAACATCTGCCAAGTATATCCAGCATTTGGGCCTAGTGAAAAAAATTGGAAATTATATGGACATTACGGATGGCTGCCAACAGGTTGTTCATAAACTTCAGAAGAAATGACCCAGAATGATAACAACTGACTGTTGGTATGCTTAAAACTTTGTAGAGACATTATTTCGAAGCAGAAGAGATGAAAAATGAGCATCCTCCTCGCTCGGAATCGAACCACTGACCTCTGGAATACGTGCCCAGCGTGTAGACCACTACACTACGAAGGCATGCTAAAAAGGCGGGAGAAGTACCATATATACTCCCCCTCTTAAAGGTCGAATGGAGTTTTTAGGGAACCCAATCCCCAAATCTGGGTGTAGAGAATCATCATTCACCACCCTTTTAATTCGGGCACTACTGTAGAGACATTAGGTTATTTTAAAGCAGGAGAGATGAAAAATGAGCAACGTCCTTGCCTGGAATCGAACCACGGACCTCTTGAACACTAAGCCCAACATGCTGACCATTAAATTACGAACGCATGCTAAGAAGGCGGAAGAAATACATTATAACTCAATGAAGAAAACAATCTGTTTTATACAAATAAACAATCAACCTTAGATGCCTTCGAATCAGCAAAACGAGTCAGACAGAAACGGCCAACATACTGGCAATTTGCAGCACGTTATGATGCAACATATAAAAAAAATTATATATAATGTACATTAAATTATTCATATGTTAAAAAAATTAACTAAAGATCAATAAACACATTTTTCATAAAAAACAATGAAAAGAAGTTTCTGAATAAAGAAAAAGTTATTTATATTAATGAGAACTTTAATATATACAAATAATTAAACAAGACAAAATACTGATTTTGAGTTAGTAATACATAAAAACATATATAAGTTTTACAGTTAGTAACCAATGACTTTTATTAATTTTCAGAAGCCTATTACATTCAGCAACTTTAAGCCATGTTGTACCATTTCTTAAAAATGATCTTGTAAAACCAGCATAAAGGAGTGATTCTTGAGAAATGTTTCACTCACATAACGAATATACCAAAATGCTGAGCCTAGTATCATGTTGCAGAAGCTCAGCAAATCAGAAAGAAGGCAGATGATCAAAATGCTCCTTTACTAATGCAAGTAATAATGGATTTCTACTTGACATTCAAGTCAAGCTGCTAACTGAAGATAGTAACATAATTATGTATTCTGAGAAGAGTTGCAGCTAGTTCCAAGTCACTGTAAACTTGTTCTGAATGTAATAAGACTTTTACATACATTAAATGTTAGTAATTAAGCAAAATCCCATAAATTGCAACCCTTGTTAGTTTCCATGCAGTTAAAAAAAATCAGTGCTTCACTTACAGTCACAACACGAGGTTTTTCCTTATCATCTTTCTCTTCAATAGGACATGGGGCTTTTGCTGCACACACATTTTCAGGTAAGATAGGTGTCTGACATGGTGAAGTATCAGAATGTAACCCATTGTTATTACTAGAATCAGCAACAGTAGAAAGATGCATAGATTTCATTTGCTGCACTGCATCCTCAAGCAGTTTAGTTAATTCAGCTGATTTATGAGGTGTTAATTTAGGAGGACTTGGAATGTTAATAGCTGAAGTCCCATTGATATGGGAGTTTAATTCAAGTGGAGGAGAAACAGAAGGTAAAGATGACTTTATAGGTAAAAGTGGGATAGTGTCATCATTATGATGCTCTTGTTTTAAAGGTTCTAAGGGAACCGTCACTGTTCGAGGGGGTGGTGTTGGTTTTGCAGCAGTTTTGGTGGGTTGTGGTACCTGTTCAAGTGAATGGATGTCAAAAAGTTACATTAAACATCTATTTTATTCAACAGGAAACATAGATTTAATATGATAATATATAATGAAGTTGAATGCATTACGAATAGTAAATTTTTTTAAAGTTCAAAACAATAAATACTAAATCAATATTGCACTAGAAATAAAAAGTATACATAAATAGAGAATTTGAGCAATTTCTTCATAGATTTCAAATTAAAAACAAATATATTAGGTTATGAATTTAAAATTCATAAAAAAATTCACAATAATATTTTAATCATCTACGAACATCCCTGAAAATCAACTGGTAAAATCGCATAACATAATCAAGTAGCAAATAACCATCTGAAGTCATAAATCTTAATTTTAGTTGTTAGCCCTATGTGAGAAGTAGTTGTACAGACTAAAAAAAAAAAAAAAAAAAAAAAAAAAAAAAACGGTATAAATCTTTCCTTAATCAAAAATGCATTTAGTAGCAAGCTTATCTATTTTTGATAAACCTTGCTGAAAATGATCAAAAGTAAACACTGGAGGATCAATTAACTATGACAATATACAGAAAATATGAAGTTAACTTTTATTTTATTATTTAGGCAAATTACACAAAGTATATCATCCAACATTCCATCTCAGTTTTGACTAAAAAAACACCAGAAGGTAGAATCTAAGGGTCATCTATCTCACTGCCATTACCACTGATCTCTAAAAAGAAATTAACTACTTAGAGGACTTTAAATGTCCCCACGAAGGCACTACAGCCACAAACATCCAGGCCTTATCTGGATTTCGAGTTTGAACTCAATAATGAGGGAATGAATTAGCCTGCACAAGCCACCATTATGGCCAGGTGGCATGCTAGTTTTTATATAACAATTATATTAGCTTTTGGCTACTTTATATAACAATAACAAATTTTTATTCATACAGACTATAATTTTAGACTATTTTTATTATATCATATAGACTATAATTTAGACTATTTTTATTCATGACTTATTTAATGGGAGTAAGGCTGATCCCCAGTATTGCAGTACAAATAATCTTATGAATATAATCCTCGATGAAGAAAAGCATCTTTAAATATATCAAATTAACACTTTCTTTCAAATTTGGTAGAGTAAAAAATAAGTAGCACAGTACAAAGTCCGTAATCCGGACTCCTCAAGACTTCGGTGATTCCGGATTAGGGGTTTTTCCGGATTATAGATCATCAACTTAAAATTGGTAAGATGGCATGTAAAAATATGAAACCATAATTTATGAAACAAAGAGCAATTATGATCTAAAGGGTATCAAAATTTATAAAAAAAAAAAAAAAGCTTAATATTTATTTGTTTACTTATTCTTTCAATGTAAGTTGTTTAAGTTGCTTCATTTTTTTTGTGCTAATACTTTCTCTTTAATATTATAAACAGACATAGTTCAGTTACAAAGTTCCACTGTTCAAGTCCTGTAATTGCTCTCAATCAAAACTTTTTCGTTTTCAATAACCTCTCTGTCACTTAATTGGAGCATTGTCGTCGCAATGAAAAATTTCAGTTAGATCATCTTCATTTATTACTGCTTCTCCATATTTCTTTACAAAATCCAATAACTGGAAAATTTCACCTTTACTTTGTAATGTCCGAAAACCTTCAAATTCGCAGCTATCATCTTCATCGTTCTCACCATGAAATATGGTAGCTGGCCATAAATTATGCCAAGCATTTTTTAACTTATCTGGAGACACATCCTCCCACGATCTTGCAATGCTCCACACAGCAGATTTTATGCTAAAAAATTTTAAAAAGTCTTGAATAGTTTTGCCATTGTTCAAGAAATTTAACATAGATTTTAAAAATTCTACTTTATATTTGCATTTCAATGTGTGCACTATTCCCATATCTATAGGATGAATGATAGATGTATAATTTGGAGGGACGAATAATACGGATACATTATCTTTCACTAAAACTTTAAGTGAAGCATGCGCCGAACAGTTGTCAATATATTCTTGAGTCATCAGGTAAACCAACCGAATTCAAATGTCGCCGAGCCTTGGGTATAAAATGATTTTCAAACCAATCATTCATCAACACTTGTGTCATCCATGCTCTTTTTATTTGTGCGATATATAATGGGGAAAATCGTTACTCCTGTAAATGCTCGAGTTCATGCATGTTTCCCGATTATGAAAAATTTGCACTTGTGCGTTCTTGTAGCATTTGTGCACATTAAAATTGTTAGTCGCTTTGGAATCTTTGACACCAGTTGGAGCCTTTTCTGTAGAGGTTGCCAAGGTATTTTGCAGTACATATTGCTAGAAAAGACCAGTTTCATCAGCGTTGTAAATTTGTTCTGGAGATCATTGTTTACTAGAAATGAGTTCAATGATTTCATCAGTATTCATAGGTATAGTAAATAACTAAACCAATACAATTCAGGCTTAATTCAGCACGCAATAGGAGCAAGACAAAATTTTTTGAAACAACCTGGCTTTCGTCAGCAGTCTTGTAATACACAGCCAATAATGTCTAACGAACACTATTAAGCTAGGGTAAGATTATCTTTACTGATTATAAGGCATTTCAATTAATGTAGCAGACTGCGCTGCTCCCTGATCTTCTAATTTGATCTAGCTTATTATTTTTTGCAGACTGTTATTATTACAACAATTTTATAAAAACTAAGCTTGAACTTACAATTATATTGAAAATTTCCAATTCTAGAGTTACTAAAGGAATGTAGGCAATAAAAAAGCAAAACCATGTTTCGATGTCCATTAAACAATAAGTGGAATTGCTGCAAAAAATGGATAAAGGCATATCTGTCTCAAAATTATGCGACAAGTATGGCATTGGAAAGTCCATGGTATATGACACAAGAAAAAAGAAAAAGGAACTTTTTGAATTTTTTGTGGAAGCATCTTAAACAACTTACATTGAAAGAAATGTTTAATAAAGTAAACAAATAAATATTAAGCTTTGTAAATTTTGATACCCATTAGATCATAATTGTTCTTTATTTCATAAATTACGATTTCATATTTTTAATTGTATAATTTCTGCATGCCATCTTACCAGATTTAAATTGATGATCTATTATCTGGAAAAATCCCAAATCCAGAATCGCCAAAGTCCCGACCAGTCCGGATTTCGGACTTTGTACTGTACTTCTATATTATATAATTTAGGGAAAGTTGTAAAACATTATTAAGTTCTAAACATAAAATTTTATTAAATAACATGAAATTTTTGCCTATGAGCATTTGATAATCTTAAAAAAATACTTAATTAAAAACAACAACAGATACTACTTCAAAGAAACCTCACAAAAATAATTTAACAAAAGGGTAGGTATTTTAATTTTAATTTAGTAAGTTACTATTTCCATTTTTCTGTTTCTTGTGTATAATTTTGCCGACAATAACACAGTAGTGATGAGTTAATCATTAAATATTTTCTCAGGAGGTTCTTGCATCTTGCATACCTGTTGCATTCCTGCATTAAACTAATGTTTTTTCTCCAATTACATAGAACAAGTAATAATTCTCCTTTAATCAATTTCACAATCCCTTTAAATTTATACCTCCCCATTCACAAAATCTAACAAATCTGAATAATATTAAAAATAGTATAAACAATTTTATACACAAAAGAAAAATAATTTTGTTTCCTCTTCTTTCTTTTTCTCTAGCACAATAAACAAAGTAACATATTTATTAACAAACTATACCATACAAACAAAATAAAAATATAAAAACAGTGCTATATTTGCAGTAGAAAGCTCTTAGCTCTAAAGCAGAATTTAAAGATTACCAAAATTTTGTTATCTTTTTAAATATAATTTATTAGTCAAACTTTTTACTAATTAGATTTATAAAAACTTTCATGCTAAAATGAAGCATAATATTTTCCATATGTCACACATACTTTAAAAATTACTTATTAATTTCTATCATAGATATATTGCAAATGAGCAGAACAAATGTTTAAACTTAAGTCAGATGATTTATTTCAGCACAAAATATTAAAAATATATTCAGAAAATCAGGATTACTTTTAATGTTGTACTTCAGTCTCAAAGACATATCAGTTTCAGTAACCTTCATATAAATACATAAAAATACAGAATGATATTTTACTTACAACAGAGAAAAATGGATTGGTAGATTCCTTTTCATTTCCTTCAACAGGAGATAACCTTTTTGATGATATATCCCTGCAATAAAAATTTAATTTGTGCTATTAATTTACACTGGAATAATAATAAAACTTAAACATTATATTATTTTTAAATATACAATACTTACAAACTGTTTACATCCTTTCCATTAAACATTAAAAGTGTTTTATCTTCAGATGGTTTACATTCCCTGAAAAGATAATTTTAATATTACACAGCATTTATGCATTCTACACTGGCATTTGTATTAAGTGCAGTTACAGTCTTCTAGCCAATAATATGCATTTTCCCACATATGAAAAGTAAAATATATGTCACATAAAGCAAGAGGCAAACATTACTTCATTTCTTCTTTAAAGTTAATCCAAACATCAAGCACACACAAAAAAGATTCTCAAATTGTCTTCATAAACTATGGTATATTAAAAGCCAAAATTTAGAAACACTATACAGGATGAATGAAATGTCTTTCGTTGTCTATGTTATATGTTATGTCCCCCCTTAATCTTTTTTTTTATTTAAGAGACTACGACATATATTTTTGGATTATGTGGCCTAAATACCTCATATGTAGCATAAAATACATCATAAGTTGAATAACATAAAAATAAAAAATAAAATTTAATATCTTCAATCATTTATTTAAAATCAATGTGATTTTTTTACACTGGGATAATTTTTTTACTATTTATGACAAATAAAGTTTATAATTGTTACATGCTATATTATAAAGGTGAGGAACAACAATAAGTGAATTTCTATGAAATTTCTTCACATATTTCATTTTAGAATAGGATGATGAACGTATCTTGATAAGAAAAATGGAAGCAGCCTTTGTGCACACTTTCGTAGTCTTGTATTTTTTTGGGGGGGGGGCATTAATTTCCAAAATTCAGCATGCTCCCCTTATTTCCTCTCATATTATCAATTATTCAGACCTTCTTCTTAATTTACTGTTATGAATAAAAGAGAGTATAATGATTAATCATTATAAGTAACAATTATAATTATTAATCTTTCTTTAAAAATCTCTTTCTCCAAAAATATTTTGCTTTCCTCAAAGACCTAAAAATATAAATAAATCTTCTTTAGTGCAACTTTAAGTTCTGCTTTTACATTTAAATAATATATATCAATCATCCAAAAAATTTCATAATCCACAGGGAAACACATTTCACTCTTCCATGAATATTATTTAATTATAGTTAGTTAAAGCTATGGTTAATTTTTAAAGATAAATGATTTCTATTGCACTAATGGTTAGAAATTTTGCATGCTTACTTTTATACACATAAGCACATTTGGACACTTACTATTAAATGGACACAATGACTTTTAAAAGGAAAAGAATTATAGAAAATAAGACATAGATTATGAAATTTAAAATAACAATAAGACAGGTAAACCCCCTGCTGACTATATATATATAACTCCATTAATAAGAATCTTTCAAATTACTTCATGCATGCATTGTTAATACACATAGCAAGTTCTTTTACCCATTGAAAAGCACTGTTCCCTTATTCTTATCAGAATCAACATCAAGAAGCACTTTTTTCTCTTTCTGTAAATCTACCAGCAGTGATGCTTTATCACATGGAACTGCAATAAAAAGGGAATAAAACTGACAATGTGCTATTTAGTTGCTAAAATGTTACACATATTAAACGTATTATAACTTTCAATGCAAGCTATATAATCATCAAATTTTATCAAAGGTCTTAGCCTGTATATAAAAGATTTGCATAGCAAAGAAATTTTGAAAACTATTTCAAAATATTCCAGGATTACAAATGTGAAATATTTCCTGATAACAACTTTAGGTTGATCTGTTTGGCTCAAGCCATCCAATACCTGTGGAGAACGCATCTTGGCATTACATACATGATGGCGAGAGAGCTTTCTCAGAGCCTCACTGAAGCATCTGGAACAACAGTTTCCAGACAGACTGTAAACAGACGTCTATCAAAGAAAGTCAGTGATAGGTGTTTCCCCACAAGAAATCACACAACCCATTTTTTGTACAGTCAGCTATACCATTCTCAGACATAACAAGACTGGGAGTCATGTCCTCTTTAATGAAAATTCAAGATTCAATACACAGAATTTTCAAGTGTCTTATCTAGAGAAAATCTGGAACCTGCTATCAAACCTCCATATAAAGGAAATCAACCACTCTGGTGGAAGTGGAATACTTGAGTGGGGAGGCAACATGTTGGACGATTGCACAATATTGCAGGTGTTCAATGCAGACACTGTAACTAGGCAGATTTAGAGAGATGAAGTTCTTGAACGTTATGTGAAGCTTTTTTGGGAAGCTACTGAAGAGGACTTTTATGGACAATGATACGAGGTCACAAGTTCAAATGGTTAACTATTTTATGGAGAAAGAAGGTATTAATTGTACTGTGTGGCTAGCAAAGCCATGGATACAAATCCCAAACAGCATGTTTAGAAATCTCTAGGAAGAGTTATAACTGATATCAACACCCTCCCAGGACCCTTGTGATATTAAAATCCTTGCTTTTAGAAGATAGGATTTTTTGCTATACATATTATATAGTATGAGGGTCTCTTGTGACAAAAGTTATGGGTGGCTCCACTCCTAATTAGCAGATCACTTTGTATTACATGTCATATTACATGTCATGTTTTTGTCTTACCTGTATATTACAAAATGTTTACCACCTGTATATTTTGTTACTACTAATGGCTGTCTTTTCATATTGTAAATTTGTGTGCATATTTATCTCTTGAGACATCAAATTCTGTGTTTGTAAGCTTCATCTTGGAACACTAGTATAAACATACATCACTTTTCTTCAAAATCAAAACTACTGTACTTCACAATAGGTTCTTTTAGAAATACCCAAATGATTGGATATGTTATACAGATGCTAAAAAAGTAATAATACCAACTTTTGCAATAAACCAAAAAGATGAAACTGTGCGCAGGTAATATATTATAAAACTCTCCTAATGAACAAGTAAGTATTCAGTTACAAAACAGGCTATTGTTAACTGCCTGGCAGTTCATTTTCTAAGGGGGGGGTAATTTCTTTCAAACAGAAATTTGGAATATAGGTGTTTCAGGAGTTTGGGAGAAATAAGAGGTTATGCATACAACAAAACGCTCCACATAGCAAAGGGTTTCACTACAAAACCCCAAATTTCCAAAACCTGCTATGAGAAAGATATATTTTCTTGATTTTAATGTGAAAATGTCACTGGTACTTAATACCTGGATTTGCATATTTTTCATATACTGTCTTAAAATTTTTGGCTATATTTTAAGATGAGCATATATTTATTTTCTTAAAGGTGTTACAGAAAATATTCTAAAGCATCCATATATATATGGCCTGGCTGGTATGAGGCACTTCTATTTAAAGTTTATTTTTATTTTATTTTATTTTTTTTTTAAGCAACCTGAAACGGAGGTCTGATGCCATTTTCCATTACAGATTTCAACTATATTCAAAATCAGAAGTATTTTGGCCTGATTATAGCAAATGCTATAATTTTAATGTCAGACATACATAGTTTGGAGTCACTAGTGGAATATTTATTACACTGCAGAGCTAGTCAGCATGATAATAACACTTGAATATTTTTAAAAGAGCAGAATTGTTCAAATTTCAAACTAAATACAAAGTAATTATGGCTAAATATCTCTTACGATTTTTTTAAACTACAGCTATATGTTATTATAATATGAACACAATTACTATTATTAGTGTAAAATAAGCTACAATATCTGTTAAAGATAAAATACCTTTATATTTAAAATAAAACCCTAAGTTTACAAACATGAGTAATATACAGAGTTCAAAATCAAATTTATTTTCTAATTAGTCTGAAGGGAAAAAAATAGTTTCCCACACTGAACAATCAAATATATGAATACATAAAAATAGCAAGCTACAATGGATATCTTTTAGAATTACCACAGTAGAAATCAAAAATGCTATTTCTTAAATTAATTTGTTTTATTTCTCAAAAGTAATAACAAAGAAGAGCAATGGTGAACCATACAGTGAAAAAATTTTTATTACAAGAAATAAAATATAACCTTTTTTGTTCTCCTCTTCCATTTTTGCTTTTAAAATATTGCATTTCATCTGGTCTGCAGGAATAGGTTTTGCTCCACCAGATATTTTCATTTGATTATTCTTTAGGGTATTTGTATCCTTATTCACTAATGGAGTTATAGTCTGCAGTGATGTAGATGGCATTGGATCTTTACCTTTCTTGCTAATTAATGCATCAACTTCTGAAATATGATGAAATGAAAATTAATTTTTTAAAAAATTAAATAAATGAATAAAAATAAAAACTAGTGACATTCTACTTAGGAGCATTCAGTAATGTAAATGCCCATATGAATTACTTAAGTAAATTAAAAATCAAATATCAGAAAATTATGAGAAAATGCTTAAGAAAGTATAAACAACAATAATTCAATATGCAGCAAAGAAAGAAAAAATTGCTTAAAAATTTTGATAAACTGAAAATGTAATTAATTCATAAAAAAGAATAAACATAATAAATTTTTTTAAAAAATTATGATTTGTATACTTTGGAAAATTCTGGACTTCAAGAAAGTAAATAACTCAGTCCAGAAAAATAGTAAAGTAAACAGTAAATGCTTACATCACAAAATGCTCAAGAATACTTAAACAACAGAACATTTAAAATTTACTAATTGACAAATGATAGCCAGTTTGACTTGAAAAAAAAATATATTGATTAAAAAATTATAAAAATATATATCCAATTTGTTATCAGAAAATACTTTTCTTGAGAAATTACATGCAAGGTTATTAAAATCAGAAAATTTGTTAGTAATTTTTTTATTAGCTACACTTCTCTAATTAAAAAAAATAACATTAAAAAAACATTTTTACAGCAAATACTGAATAAGTTACTACTAAACACCTTCTTATAAACTGAAATTCAACTAACACAGGCTTAACAATAAATGTCATAATTGCAAATGAAAGTAATAAGGAATGACTGAATTCACTAGTTAGTCTGAACAGTAAAAGAAAAAAAAGTATTTCAATTTAAACTTCCGCATAACAGTTTTACTCATAAACTACATATTTTGAGCATTCAAGCTACTTGGCCTTATGTCTGCAATTGATATGAAGAAATTTGATTGATAGAATAAAAGTTATTCAGTTTTCAATAGATGTTAAAGTAACTCATTTTTTTACTGAACATGGAAATTTCAAGAGATATTTAAAGCAATTTGGACTCGGTTCCAAGTGCTTTGTGCAGCTGCAGTAACGACAATGAAGAAGCACATTCTTCTTGAGCGCAACATTATTAATTAAATGCTTAGCTGCTGAAGTAAAGGAAATGTTGTGAGTGAAGTTAATGTACTGGAAGACAAGAAGAGCAAATGCAAATGATTTTTGCATGGCTATGCCATTTACAGATGAAAAAAAACTACCGCTAAGAAACAGGATAGAATTACTAACATGTCTTTGGAGATGACTATGTTGCCAAAAAATTGATCTGGAAGAAAATGTGACAAGGTATAACTGATAAACGGCAATTTGTCTCTCCCATAAAAGTTTTTCCATCTGAAAACTATTACAAAATTACAAACAAAAGAGATTACTTTACTACCTTAAAACTGAAAATGCAAACTGAAGATTAAAATGAATGAGATAATTGAATTAAAAGAACTGAGATTAACTTTTGAACAAGGATATATCAGGTGCAAAAGTTTCCCAGATAAACAAGATATATTGCTGAAATGAAAAGAAATCCATTACGAAAAGTCCCATCATTTCAAAGGAAACAGACACAGTAACTGTTATTGAAGACATGCATTTTCATGCAACACACAATTTATTTTAATAAACAATAAATATACAAATAATTTAACAGCACATTTTCATAGTGCATGGGTAACAGAAATTACAATTTAAAAGATAAAGATCTTGTGCCCTGTAGACTGTCAATAATCTGAAAATAGGCTATTTGGAAAGTCAAGTGGATCATACATGATAATTCAGTGCAGTAACAATGCAGTCAAACATCTTTATTTTTGTTAGACAAGAATACATCTACTGAATGGAAACAAGGAAAAGTATTTGAAATGTTTTTTCAAAGGGTTCAACTAGCCAATGGTGAAAAGTTTAGTGAATAAAGAGGTTACATTTTTTACACATGAAGTGAAATTTATAGAATACATACGATTTGAGTGATTAAACTTATGACAGTAACTCACCAGTTGAGTCAATGGGGTCTGCAAATTCTTTCTTTTTATTGGATAGAGATACCAATTCATTATTTATTTCTATACTTTCAGTGCATGGTTTGCCTTTTGTTAAGGATTTGATCAAGTTATCCAAACGATCTTCAGCAGTTTCTTTAACTGTTCCATTTGACATCGGTACAGAGTTCTTGGGCAAATCTGAAGATGTGGAAGGCTTGGGCATACTGGTTTCTGGAGCAGAATTTGCTTCAGTAACAGTTGATTTGGAAGGAGTAGCTGCATCATCCTTTACTGGCTGTGCTGGAGCAGGAGAGAGAGGAAGTGCACTAAAAAATATGCAACAAATTACTTAAGAAAAAATTTTGTATTATGTAGGCAATATACAAAAATTCTTGGTTAAAAAAATAAAGCTTGATTTGCAATGATTTTTAACTTTACGATTAATTTTTAACGTACGATTTAAACAGTTATGTACAATTATTGAAAGTTTAGTTAAATTTTATTAATAAGTTTTGAAATTTTGAATCTACCTTTCAGTTGATCATGAATACCTATGTTTCAAGTTCAAAGTTTTTAAAATGTTATCATAGTAATAGCATTTAGCCACATATTTTTGAAATATAAAAAATTTGTTTCATTTAAAAGTTTAGAATATACTGGAAACATAATAAAATTTTTAAATAAAATTTACAAACAAATTTTATGTAAAGTTTGGCATATAGTTCTTATTAGTGTAATTTGAAGACCAAATGAGATTTTTCCATCAAATAATGCATTATATTAATATACCTATGCTTGGCAGTATTCGAAATGGAGAAATCAACGTAAGTTTTCTGCTAATATATGATAATCACTTCATATAAATATCACAATTCTATCTATTATATTTTGATAATAAAGTTTATTTTAAAAATTGCATGCTAATTTTTTTCCTATAAGTGTTTGTTAATTGATTGAAGCAACACATGAGGACTATCTGCTACGAATACAGTTTCTTTTATGGTGGATCTTTTTCAGGCAAAGAATCTCATACACAAGGAAAAGCATGAAAAATTCATGCAAGTAAATTTATTTGGCAAGACATAAACCGGACTAAACTACCAGTGATCTTAGTCATTCAACTGTTGAAGAATGCTACTTTGAAGACACCTTTCAGTTGATGGTTATTAGAAACAGTAACATACATGTATGATTACTAGTACTATAATTCAAATTATTGATTTACTTTTCATGTTATATAATATTAGAATATTCTTAGCAACAACTTGAAGGGCAATCTTTAGACAAAACTTTATGCGCAATATCTAAACTGAGTTGCATTTTATTAAATCATATTTAAATTCTACTAAAACAAATTTTGTATGTCAGTGCAGTTAACAGATTTTGTATGCCTTCCATATTCAGTTTTCATTAGATATGGAATATAACAATAATAGTTATTATTCAATGTGGTTATATCAAATTCAAATGGCACTCATTATTTTGTAATGTTCCTTAATGACTGCTATGTTTAATATGCTTATATCAATTTATACTAATCATGAGTTAAACCTGTTGACTAATATTGATGGAAATATAAATGTAGCAGCTCTCTAAATTACTGCAACATTTCTTTCTTTTTCTTATCCCTTTTTATTTTGCTGATTAAAATTCTAATGAGTTTTAAACATGCAATTAAAAACTCTAGATGTTCAAAAATGCCAGAAAACTGCTTACATACAGAGAAACTTTTTTATTCCAACATGTCTATGAGCTCAGATGTTACTCAAGAGAAATATGCAATTTTTGTAAGTTCTCTAACTACATTGCACGCACTCTAAATGTAAGAAATAAAACTTTTAGCATGTATGAGTAAAAGATATAGATTTTCTCTTTAAGTAGAAACCTTTACTATATGTTAGGCAAAAATGCTGACAATAATTCCCAAAATTACATATTTAAAATGCAACTAAAAACAAATCTTCCAAATAATTTAAGACTACAAATAACATAATTTGGTTGAAACTCATACCTTAAACCTCTGTCTTCATTTCGGCGAGCCTCAGCAAGAGCATCAGTTATTTCTCTATCTCTTTCACGATCCCTTTTACGATCATGTGTAGGTCGACGAGAATATCTCTGACTTGGGCGACGATCAAACTGAACAGTTCTCCGTGCTCTATTCTGTGTTGTCTGATATTCTGTTTTACCACTACATAAAACAAAACACATAGTTCAAATTATCATTAAATGAACAGATATGGAAAACAAAATATGAATTAATGTTCTTGTTTCTTGGGTGGGGAACATACATTTCTACAGTACAAAGTCTGAAATCCGGACTCGTCGGGACTTCGGCAATTCCGGATTTGAGATTTTTCCGGATATTAGATCATCAGTTTAAATATAGTAAGATGGCAAAAACTTAATATTCATTTGTTTACTTTATTAAACACTTCTTTCAATGTAAGCTGTTTAAGTTGCTTCATTTTTTTGTGATAATACTTTCTCTTTAATTCTGTAGACAGACATAATCTCTTGTTTAGTTACATTGTTGAAGTCCTGTAACTGCTGTTTCGAGAATTCCAACTAGTCAATCGAAATTTTCTCATTTTCAGTAATTTCTCTGTCATTTTCTTCACTATCAGTCGTAGTATCTTCTGGATCTAAAACCATACTACAAATTTCGCCATTAACTGATTGATGATTTAGAAACATTGACATCACAATGAAAAACTTCTTTTATATCACCTTCATTTATTACCACTTCTCCACATTTCCTTACAAAATCCATTAATTGGAAAATTTCACTTTTGTTTTGCAATATTTGAAAATTAGTTTCATTGTTGTTCCGTTAAATTTTATCTTGCTCCTATCGTTCACTGAGACAATTAAGCCTGAATTGTATTAGTTTAATTATTTATTATACTTATGTCTATTTCTTGCACATGCTTAAGGCTTATCAGAGTTCTGAATAAATAAATTCCTACATATAATTAGGCCTTATTGAAGGCTGGCGCAAGTTGTCATGCTTTGATAAACATGCGGTGATAGGAAAGTATAATAAATAATGATTCACAGGTTGGCATCAGATCAACGATGTATCTATGTGGAATGTTTCGGTTTGAGATGTGTGCCAAGCAGATATGCTGCAATGGAGCCAAACTACTGATCGTACAAATTTATGCTAAAATGATTGTTTCTTCAATAACAAGGTATTTTATTTAGTGTCGAAGTGAAATTAAGAATCGGGACTCTCCAGATGTTTTATTATACGTGGAGGGAGGAATCAAATGCTCATGCGTAAAGCCTACGAGAAAAAACATTGTTGATGGTTTTGAGGTCCAGATTTTAGACCATTCCGCATAATGGACGTCCGGATTTCGGACTTTGTAGTATATACATTTTATACTGCAAAATTATGTATTTACCATCTTTTATATTTCTGTATGTAAACATTACGCAGTCTCAAATTTAAAAAATGCAAACAATTTCTTTCCTCTCTTGAGTGTGAATTATTATCATACACTATTTTAGAAAATTTGTGTTAGGAAATTTCAAATGCAGTTTAGTTCAATAGAAGATCAGGATTTTAGTTTGCAGTGCAATATAATTTTTGAAAACTTGCATCAAATGACATATTAGACTTAATAAGTAAATGGAATTTTTTAATAATTACACACATTCGCAATATAAAACAGTTACAGTTGATAACATATTTTTGGTTCCGGTAACCAAAAATTTCTTTCAGCTATTTTTTAAAGAAGAAAACCTCTAAGAAGCAATAGCATTAGTGTCAATAATGCATCAAATAATTTTAAAATAACTTCCAAACAACAGATAATAACATAATTTTGAATGTAGTAACCAAAAAAATATTTCATTAATTTTTCAAGGAGAAAGCTTGATGAATAATGCCACTGATGTTATACCTTTATTAAAAGCTATAATATTTGTGAAAATATGAATTGAATATGGCTATCACTGTAGAAATGCACTTGCTTTTATCAAGTTCTTTAACTCAGTTATCTTTTGATATTTAAATTAGGAAGATAGTAGGCAGGTATAGCGATTAATAATAATAATATTATTATTATTCTCATCTTGCAATTCAAAGAACCATCCCAAATTTCATGAAAGCCCCTTTTTTTAAGAAATTTTTATCTTTTGTTGAAAAAATTATCTGAAATATTTTCAAACTCAGTACTTTCAGTGATCAAAATTGCAGGAAACACATCTAACAATTTTTAAAAATGTATAAAATATTAATATTAAAATCAGCAATAACAGAGAGGCCTTATGCCTGTCCCAAACACACTTTACAATGGTAAGAAGCTGCTACTACAGAGTTGAAATTTTAATTCAAACTTTGAATTTTTGCCGTTTCCTGGCCTAACAATATGGCACTGATTCTGATATATGCATGTACAAGAGAAAAAATGCCGGCAGGGAAATATAAGACAATCGTTTTATGCCAGATATAACACTAAATTTCCCACTTCCTCAACAGCACTATAATGCTAAAACATCAATAGATTTTACTGTCCTGTGCCTTCTGTCATCTATTTTCAAAATTCATGAGGAAAGGAAAAATTGATGTTCTTGTTTACTGCAGTTTCTTATTTTCCTTGCCTATTCATTTAAATTCAGTGCATAAAACTCTTTCTACACTCAGGGAGGTAATTATATTGCAGATATTAGTCCAATAATTACAAAAAATGTTTGAATTAATTAGATTAATTTTTCACATTTAATTCTTACTTTTTCAGAATTTACGTAAAAAAATATGAAAAAAATTCCTATTTTAAGATTCAAACCTTAATTTTCAGCTTTCAGTTATTTCTTAAGATTTCAAGTCAGTTTGAAGTCTTTTTTTAAATGCTTAGTAGATTTCTGAAATATGGGGAAATTTTTTTTAAGCAATATAAAATCCATTATCTGGCAGGCATCAATAATGAATGATCCTTTCCAAAATCTGAAAAAATGTTAAAGGATGGCAGTTTATTAAGGTAGAAAAAAAAATGTGTATGTGTACTATACAAGTATAATGTATTGAAATGCCTCCACTTTATATAGAAATCTCGATCCAGTAATAACATCATTTGTTGTATTGTCAGAACTGACCAGTTTATAAACACACATACTAGTTTTAAAATACATATTACAATGATTATTTAGTTGGGTATAAATAATTTGTACAATTCCTATTTCACATGTGACACAGACATAGAATTGGGGGGGGGAAGGGGAATTCCACGTGAAATTTCCCAAATTAATCTATGAATGCCTTGCATATTTTGCCTCCCTTCCCTGCTGGAATGATACATTTATCACCTTATTTATGCTTAATCTACTTTCAACTGCATTTGTTAATGGTTAATAAACGTAATGTTCATACAGGGTTTATCCAGAAAATAGTAGGACTGATTTTTAAAAAATATTATTCACAATTTTGACATACTGACTTAAAAGCTTTTAAAATGTGTCCTTTTGCATCAACACAGTTTCCAGCAATTCTGCCAAACACTGAAGGGTTCCTGGAACACAGAAGCTGGAATTCTCTTCAATTTCCTCATTGCAACCTCTTGAATGGCCTAGACCGAGCCATGGTACCATCTTTTCATGACCCTTTTCAGTTGGGAGAAGAGGAAGAAGTTTGAAGGAGAGACATCTGGGCTGTAGGGTGGCTGGAAAAGCTGTGCCATGCCATGTTGGTCAGGAAGTCTATGACAACAAATGTGGTATAGCTAGGTGCATTGTCCTGATGGAGCCTCCATGATATAGCAATTGCTGGATGGATATGGGCGACTCATTTTTTGAGGCTTTCAAGTACTGCCACATAGAATGCAGCATTCAAGTTTGACCAGGCGGTACAAACCCACTTCTTTACAGTCAAAAAAGATGATCAACAACAATTTCATCTTTAACTTGCTCTCTTTTCTCCCTAAAATTTGTTCCACTCAAAAAAGGACAAAAAAAAAAAAAAAAAAAAACTTGATTGACCATGGCATCATTACCATAAACAGTTCTGATCATGTCCTGGGTCTTACTTCCAGTTTTACTCAGTGTGACACAAAACTTCATTCTGGCTTTTGAAAGGTATTTTAAAAGTAACCTCATTCAAGTCAAGCATCTATACAAAACGCAAAAATTTATTTTAATACTGTGAGTGTTAAGTAACATAGCACAAAACTGTGCTTTAAAATAGCTCAAAACATAAGATTTTACATTAAACAAACATTTTGCACTAGCACAGCACAAAACTGGTGTTATACATATTTCATCTAGATGTTATCTAAAATTTAAAATATGAGGAACACTGATTATGCTATATATAGCTGTGCATACAATCTGAATCTTAATATACATACCTATATCTGAACCTTGAACCCATACGAAAGAAATTCTGTCTTGCTGATGGTGGTTTCTGGCCACCTTTCAAGCGAAAGAAAGCATGATGTTCAACAGCACATTTCCACAGATGTTTACAAGCTTTCTGATTGTGCAATCGAAAGACAAAGGTGTGTTCCTGCTCCCGGCCCTTAATTTTTATAACAAAAATGTGAATGTTAATGATAAACAGATATTTTAAACTATGAATACAAAACATTTCAAGCTCAGAATTTCAAACATAAGTTTTAATATATAAAATACTCATTTAAAAAAATTACTTTTTAGATAGCGAAGAATTTTGTTTTAAATACAGAAAAAAGATTCATCTAAAAATGGTGATAAGTATTAAGTTTTATTCAGGGAGATTTGTATTAACATTTGCTTCAATACAGATTACAGTGCATAATTTTAAAATATATATTACAAAAAGAACAAACTGTGAGATGAAATAATGCATATAAATTCTACTTTTGCTAAGTTTACTAATAAACTTTTCAATAAATACAAAACCGAGCACAGAGAATTAATTATGTTTATAAACAAAGAATTTTCTCAGTATTCTCATAATGATTGCTGCATACTTTGCATGAAAAGTAATGTACCACAGTACCAATTTCAGGCAAATTATATACCATTTTTAAGTTTTTAAGCTGCTATTTAAGGGCACCATTTAGGCTCCTTTGAAAGGCACTTCATGAGATGCCACAGAGATGATATGATATGTATTCTTATTGGAATGTAGGTTTCTTTTAAATAAATAATATTACGATAGTTATTGGTAGTTTATAATATCAACATTTGCTATGTTTTTCATTTGCTATGTTCTTACTGTAACCATGTCCTTCAGATATTAAAGCATTTGCATAATTTTCCCCTCCAATTTTTGTACGATAAAATTAGTAACAAAAAGGAGAGAAAATATGCAAGTAAACACCATACTTTTAATATGTAAAAAGAAAAAACAAACAGTCTAAATAACCTAAATGTAATTCTGCAAAAAAGTACTTGAAAGCATAATTAAAGAAGAAACAAAACATAATACAGTCAAAAGTCTTTAATCCGGACTCGTCGGGACTTCGGCGATTCTGGATTATCGGTTTTTCCAGATTATAGATCATCAGTTTAAATCTGGTAAGATGGCATGCAGAAATTATAAAATTAAAAATATGAAACTGTAATTTATGAAATAAAGAGCAATTATGATCTAAAAGGGTATCAAAATTTACAAAAAAAAAAAAAAAAAAAAAAGCAGAATAATATTTATTCATTTACTTTATTAAATATTTCTTTCAATGCGTGCATGCGCAAAGTATACATTACACATAGTCGAAATTAGAAAATTGCAACCAGAAAACTATTTGATGTGTATTCATGATATTTATAATGATGAGGAATTGGGTTTGAATCATATCAAAGACGGAGTACATCGAGATGAAATACTACATTAGTAAGGAATTATAAGCCGAATAAAATAAAAACACCTGCCCTGAAGATAAGGATAGCACTGACAGATCAACTGACAGTTCATTGCGCGCCGCGTCCCCCCCCCCCCGGCGGAACAGTGTGAAATTGATAAACATATTTCGGAATGGTTTGAGAATCAAAGGATATGCCTTTATCCATTTTTTGCAGCAATTCCACTTTTTGTTTGATGGACAATGAAACATACTTTCGCTTTGTAGATCCTTTGGTAGCTCCAGAATCGGAAATTCTTTTTAACATATAATCGAAAGCTCAAGCTTACTTTTATAAAATTGCTTAAACAGTCTGCAAAATATAATAAGCCGGATTCAATTAGAAGGTTAAGGAACAACGTGATCTGCAACATTAACTGAAATAGATAATTAGATAATTTTAGCTTAGCTTATACTGTCCGTTATACATTAAACACGCATGTGTAAATGCATTATGCGCATGCGTGAAGGTATTATGTGTGTGTGTTAACACATTATACGTTAACGCATGCACAGAAAGTTTGTAGCATTGAGGTCCGGATTATAGATCATTCCGGATTATGGACGTACGGATTAAAGACTTTTGACTGTATACAAATGCCCAATTTTAATACATTTTTTCTTGCAGACCAATTTGACACATTAAGTTTAATAAAATATTTAACATATAATTCACTGAAAGCAAAATACTAATTTAATACTGTGTTTTAAAATGAAAACATTTTTGTGCTGCTGAAAGTTACAAAGCTTCATAAATTTATTTTATTTCTCTATTCTGTTATTTTCATTATTTTTTAAATAATAGAATTCTAATTTGTTTTGTTTTATTTTGCTTACACTGGATTAGGATAACTTTTATGACTAATTTAATAATAAGGCTTTTGTGATAAAACACCACAAATGATTACAATCATTTTAGACAGTAGATACAAATAACTTACCTCATCATCATCTTCAACAACCACAAGTGTTAATTTTTTTGATTTAAAATCTAGTCTTGTAATTTTAGGCCAAAAAAACAAACCAATTTTAGTTGTATTTTCGAAGACTAGAATTCCTGTAGGTGTTAGACCTAATGAATATTCATTGCCATCTTTGCCCTGAAAGATAAAACTTTTATGTATGGCACGAAAAAGATAAAAATGGTGCATACACTGATTAGTAAGAATATTTTTATAAAAAGACTTATACATGCAGCTATCCTTACCAGAACTGTATGCATATCTACACCATACATTTCAAGCCATTTTGCTTTGTTTAGGTAATTAAGTTCTGCCTGTGCTGGAGTCTGACCACTGGAAAATTAGAAGACAGAAAGAAATCAAACTAAATTTTCTTTTAATATACACAGCAAATATCTTAAAAATTCCATACATCATCAAATATTTAACAATCATAACAGTGCATTTTTCTATTATTGCTAATCCATAATATCACAAAAATAAAAAATGCATAGCATATTTTTCATTTCTGAGAGATTGTGGATTAACAAAGAAGTTGTTAATAGCATTCAATTTATCTCCATGATATTAACAACTTATGACATCATTTAAACTACAGTCCACCATAAAAGAACTAGCAACCCAGCAACAAATGCAGTAAGATTGTTTTTTATTTTATCCTAATAAAACAGGTGTTCTTTTACATTTACTTAAGACAAGCTAAAAAATTCCATTCTACATCAGAACTTCATGAAAATGAAAACAGATACATAAACAACAGGTACCTTCCTAATTTTGGGTGTGTGTGTGTGGGGGGGGATAAACAAGCTTTTTCAATCATTTCTGAAAATGTAGTTGCTATCAACTCAAGAACAAAATAGAAGTAAATTCACAGGAATAATTCTCATACTGTTCAATTACTGGTGCATGAGTTAAATTTTCAAAACATTTGGTCATATCCCAGCTCAACCCATACAGAAAATTTTATGAATGGACAAATCAGATGCCACCACAAAAGACATTTCAAGTTTTTATTTCTTTTTGCGATTAACAGAGCGGCTAGCCCACTGGGTTAGGTGTTTTGCAGCCTGTTATTTCCCATCAATGGAGTTGAAAAAAAAATCTGATATGTACACGACGACTTCTTTGTACGGAATATTAAATTATGCACATTTTTTCTTGCATTTTATTTAAACTTATTGGATTAAATTAAATCTACTTTATTGATAGTGCATAAACCACACTAGAATTAATGCACTCTTTACAATTCAATATATTTGTTTATCATTAAATCTACTTTGTCAATAGCGCATAAACCACAATAGAATAAATGCACTCTTTAAAATTCGCTATATTTGTTTACCATAGCGACACTCTGGCCTTAGATTCACCTAACAGTGCTACATTTCAATCATGTTTTAACTCAGAAGACACAAAATTTATATCATCTTAAGAATTATCTAATCGTCGCCACATGTTCTATTCAAGTACTATAATAAATTTAAAACAATGTATAAAAGAAATTAAGCAAAACAACAACAACAACAAAAACAGTTTTTTACAGACGATTCAGTATTTCTTATTCAATTCATTCAGTTCTCACTTCCCGACAAGGCAAAAATACATAAAAAATCAAAATGTCTGTATTGAAATTTATGAAGTAAAGCTTAAACACTGATTTGCTCGAATAAATTCCAGAATGCATTAAGCATGATTTAATTCGCAAAAATAAAAGAAGGTGTTATCTTCGTTATTGCAAAGCTTACTTTCTCTAGATTGGCAACAAATCTACTATTCTGTTGTTTCAAATGTAAACAAACAATGGCTGGCATGGCAAAAATTATTAGGATAAGTGACACTTAAACAACTTTTAAATTTATGATAATTCTAAAAATATTGCATACAGATTTACTAAAGGCACAAAAGCCTTAACTGGAAGATAAGAACAGCATAATTCAATTCTAAAAAAAAAAAAAAAAAAAAAAAAAAAAAAAAAGCACAATTTACAATTATATAAAAATAAAGAAACTGAGATCACTGAGCTGAGTAACAGAATGAATATATATATATATATATACATCATATATTTATATACCTTTTGGGTGAGGCCGATTGTAACCAAAATACGAGGTGCCCATCTACATGTTATAACAGTCCTACATACAAAATTTCAACTTTCTGAGGCTACTCATTTTTGAGTTATGCAAGATATGTACGTACGTACGTACGCACAGACGCCCCCAAAAATTCTCTTTAGAATTCATTTGAAATTAGTTTTACAACTTTCCTGGGGAAAAAGAGTCATTCATTCTGTCCTTACGAACAGATGTCAAGCAAAAACATCATTAAATTGCATTCGATAGCGTTGAAAATGGGTATCTGCATTGAAATATGATGCCTGAAACTTTTCACAATCACAATACTTCCCTTTTACTACGTACAAGGAAGTAAAAAAGGAGGGAGCAGTAATACAGTACAAAGTCTTTAATACGGACTCATCAGGACTTCGTCGATTCCGGATTATAGATCATCAATTTAAATTTGGTAAGATGGCATACAGAAATTATAAAATTAAAAATATGAAACCGTAATTTATGAAATAAAGAGCAATTATGATCTAAAGCAGGGATGTCAAACTCATAGGTACACTTGGGCCAAACAAACGAGGTTTAACTTTAGGTGGGCTGCAAAAAAAAAAAAAAAAAAAAAAAAAAAATCAATATTCATTGAAACGTAGATTTATTTCGAATAATACAATAATAAACATATATATATATATATATTTATATAGAAGAGAACAATAAAAATTTAATGTTTACGTCCTGATACTTGACATCTCTTCTCTGCTATTATCTTTCCTATTTCGGGAGAAATTTTGTTTGCAGTGATAACTTTCAACGCTGATCCAAGGTGAGCATCATTAATACGGTTTCTAATAGGAGACTTATTACCTTTCATGACTGAAAATAACTGCTCGCACTGATAAGTGCTACCAAACATGGAAATAATTTCATATGCGAATTTTCGAGTATTTTCAAACCTGGCTGGTAAATATTTGTAAAATTCAGGCACGCCCACTTCAATGAATTTTGCTTTCAAATTTGAGTTGCATTGAATCTCGATCACCTCCATTTGCATATGGCTGGGTACCGAGTCAATACTTATTGAGAAAAATCGAAGAAAACAAAAAAAAAAAAAAAAAATTTTTCGAGGGAACTAAAATCATTAAACCTCGTTTCAAATTCAGTTGTTAAATTTGCAATTTTTTCTGCGTTTTTTTGATACGAACAAGTATCATCTAAACTTGATTTGTTCATGCTGCTTGTCGGGAAGTGCGTCAAATCTTCATTTTTAAGTTGTTTTTCCCAAAGAACTAGTTGACATTTGAATGCTTTAATTATGTCAGACATGTTCGTAATGATATATCTTTTCCTTGTAACGATAAATTTAAATCGGTTAAGTGTTTGGTTATATCAACCAAGAAAGATAAATCTTGTATCCATATCAGATCGTAAAACAAACTTACGTTTTGATTTTTCGTTTTTAAAAACTGACATATTTCTTCTTTCAAATCCCAGAATTGTTTGAGAATCTTGGAGCAAGATAACCAACGTACCTCGGTATAGTAGGACAAACCCAAATATTCAACTCACTTAAGAAAGCAGTGAATTGACGCTGATTTAAACCTCGAGATCTTATAAAATTTATAACTTTTTTTATATATGACAAAACATTCTCGATATTTATTATTTTCGTGCATAGAACTTCTTGATGTATAATACAATGCATATGATGAATGTTTGAACCATGAATTTCACTAAGTTTTTTTCTTAGTAATGCTACGAAGCCCTTGTTTTTCCCGGTCATTGATGGAGCGCCATCTGTAGCTACAGAATTTAATTTTGCCAAAGGTAGATTGTATTTCTGCAGAAATCCAAAAACACAAGTAAATATATCTTCTCCTGTGGTAGTACCAGGCATGGGTATTAGTTCCAGTAATTCCTCAAAATGTTAAAATTCTTGTCACAAGAACGAAGAAACACTGCTAATTGAGCTTTGCTACTAATGTCTGTGCTCTCGTCACAGGCAATGGAGAAACTTTCAAAACTAGATGATTTTGCTTTGATCTGATCATTTAAATTCGCGGCTAAATCAGTAACTCTTTCCGCAACTGTATTTCGAGACAATGAAATTGATTGAAAAGCCTTCACATTTCCAGGACAAACAATTCCTCCAGTTTTCATTAGGCATTCCTTGATGAAATCACCGTCAGTAAAAGGCTTCGAATGTTTAGCTATCAACTCGGACAAGACGTAGCTTGCATGTACCGCCGCTTCACTTTCTTGCAATACTTTACTAAACATGGACTGTTGCTTTTTCACTCCTAACTTGAGCTCTTTCAACTTTTCTTCTCTCATTAATCCTTCGTAATTGTTATATTTCGATTTGTGTTGTTTGTAATGACGTTTAATATTAATAGTATTATTACATATCAAGCAGATTATTTTATCTTTTATTTCACAGCAAAAATATTCTAATTCCCATTTTACTTGGAATATTCTATGTTCGTCAGTGATTTTTCGTTTAATTTTACTACCTCTTGGTTTTGATATAGACATACTGAATACAAAGGGCTGGAATAAGCACGGTTAACGTTAAAAAGTTAACAAAAATTTATTCTTTCCACAAGAGATAAATTAAAATGCTGAAATATTTCTTCAAAAATATTCTAACAACATCACAAAATGTCAAACATTTAGCAAAAATCAATTCAAAACAGAGAAACTAATTCTATCTCACAGCGAAATCGCTACAAATCAATCACAGCATTAAGTAAACAAACAGTTCGCTAGAACTACAGCTACTACTGAGATTAGTTGTTTGTTCTCGGCTTTTATAAGCTTTATAATTAATTTCTCGAATATACTGGAAACATCTATAAATATCTGGATTTTTGTGAATGGCAACAGCAATTATGAGATATTTATTTATTAGGTATGAAATGCACGCGCTGTTCTATTTTTAACCTTCCAACGCAGCTGTCTTTTCAAAAATCGTCTGCGTTGCTAAGGCATAATGAAGCAAATCTAATTACAATTCTAAATAAAAAAACTAACTAAATAAATAACTATGAATTCCGTAACAATATGAATTAAGTAATAATTAATAATAAAGCAAAGTGCATGCATGTGCATGCACCAATATATCGTACAAAACTATGATTGGAAAACTGAGACCATGAGTTCGGCCACATTCGGCTATCGGGGGATGCATACAAGTTCTGAGTGCATGTGTCCCCCAAAAGCCGAAGGTAGCTGAACGCAAGCTACTCACACGCATTTGTAATTTAAGTAGTGTGTGTGTCAGCTCGCTGTGAGTAATCTAACATTACTGAATAAATTATCATTAATTACTTAGCAGTAAACATTTCATTTTTTTCTTCGTCGATATGTTATTTTATTATTATATATTATTATTTGCCGATATATTGGCCGGGCCGCAAAAATATTTGTTGTGGGCCACATGCGGCCCGCGAGTTTGACATCCTTGATCTAAAGGGTATCAAAATTTACAAAAAAAAAAAAAAAAAAAATGCTTAATATTTATTTGATTACTTTATTAAATATTTCTTTCAATGTAAGTTGTTTAAGTTGCTTCGTTTTATGTGCTAATATGTTCTCTTTAATTCTATAAACAGACATAATTTCTTGTTCAGTTACAAAGTTCCGCTGTTCAAGTCCTGTAATTGCTGTGCCGAGAATATTGACTAACTTGTCAATTGAAATTTTTTCATTTTCACTGACCTCTCTGTCACTTTCTTCATACCTTTATCCATCTTTTGCAGCAATTCATCTTTTTGTTTGATGAACACTGAAACATGCTTTCGCTTTGTAGATCCTTTGGCAGCTCCAGAATCAGAAACTCTTTTTGACATAATCGAAAGTTCAAGCTTACTTTTTATAAAATTGTTCTAACAGTCTGCAAAAAATAATAAGCTGGATCCATTTAGAAGATTAAGGAACAACGTAATTTGCAACATTAACTGAAACAGATAATTAGATAATTTTAGCCTAGCTTATACCATCCGCTATATGTTAAGCGCACATGCATAAACGTATTATGTGCATGCATAAACGCATATGCACATGCGTAAACGTATTATGCGCATGCGTAGAAATTTTGTAGCTTTGAGGTCCGGATTATAGATCATTCCAGATTAAAGACTTTGTACTGTATATCTCCACTGGGCCGACTGACAAAATTCAAACTGCGCTTTCCATGTTTTGAAAGCGTGTCTTACGATATCTATTAGATTTATATATAATTTTGTTCTAACATAGGTATTTTGACAAAAAAATTGGACTTTTTCTGAAATGACATACCAATTTTTTTTCCACATTTCGATTCTATGACTCAAATTATGCCTAGATATTAAATTCTGCAATTTTTGATGAGAAATTTAAAAATTTATTTTGGTTTTTTTTTCAGTTTCTGCCAAGAATAATTCACTTGGCAAAATTCTTAATATATGGCAACCTATTTTCCTATCCCTTTTAAACACTGTGCTTGGGCGGGAAAAGTCACATCATTCCTACTTTCAAATAATTTTAACAAAGTGCCTACATATCATGTTATCACTTTCAACAAATATGCCAAATTTCAAAATGTGCCAATATATAAATTCACATATACCTTCGTAAATTTTGAATAAAAAACTCTCATTTTTTTTGAAGATTATGGCAAAACTTTTATAGGCTATAATTCAAAATTTTGGTCAAAAAATTTATAAAAATTATTAAAAAATACAAATTTTAAAAATAAGCCTAAAAATACGGGAATTTTATTTGGAATGAGCCTAAATTTCAAAATATGAAAGAAAGAATCAAATAAGTTTAATAAAAAAGAGATATTAATAAATATACATCAAATTCAACTAACATTAAGGAGCTAAAATTTTGGGAGCTAATTTTTTAAAAACAACTCATGTGATTTTTACAAAACTTGGCAGTTTGGCATAATTTACGTCGCAGAATCGAAATGTGGAAAAAAAATCGGCATGCCATTTCAGTCCAATTTTACGTCAAACAATGCCATATACAAATCTAATACATATCTTAAGTCGCACTTTCAAGACATGAAAAATGCAAGTTGAATTTCATCAATCAGCCCGCTAGAAAGGGAGATATAGAACTGTCCCATTTTTTTATAGCGTACATAAATATGACAGGTGCACATACAGGTTTGTATAAATTTGTACAGGTACATCTGAACAAATCTGCTCAGGTATAAATCTGTTTATACAGACTGATGTACAGATGAAATCTGTGAAAATATTTATATTTGTACATCAGTCTGTCTATATTTCAGTTCTGTGTACTGTCCCAATCCACAATGAAGATAGACATGAGTATTCAATACATCAGTTTAACATCAAAGAGAATTGCCAGACATAAAAAAAAAAAGATATTTATAAACACCTTGTTAACCATGAAATCAACGAACATAGCATATCTTTGGTTAAATGGCCATAGGAGCATCCAGACTCAATAACTGAATGAGACAAAACCAAAATCACCCACAAACTTTGGACCAAAAGCAGCCTTAAAATCAGAAAAGTACCAGAAACTGCAACTAGAACATGTTGCAAATGAGATTTTCCGTTCACTTAGCAAATATCTGGATGTAGCACAGCAACCCTGCAGAAAAAAATAAAAAGAGAAAACTTGATCAAGCTATTCATTCCTGCTCCAGCTGATGAAGCACATGGGTTGCCTTCGAGATTGTCTATTTTACTGAGGTTTAAACATGGTTTTAGCATGTCAACACAGAATATTTTAAGTTTGCTTTATTTTACTTTGCTCAAATTAAATGTTCCATTAAACAAAAAAATAATGCTTACTACTGTTGCTGTTGTCTTGTCCATGAATTTTATGGAAGAAGGGTTGCTAGAGCCTCAAGGAGGTTGGACTTCTATTTCCACCCCAATTTTGAGGAAGCACACACAGGGAAGTGGTCTGAGGATCTCCTATTCCTCTCCCCTATCACCAATCCAAATGAGAGGACTTTTGGCTCGTCATACGTTTAGAGTGCGTCCATGCATGCCGCAAAGACGCTATACATTTACAAAAACCAATGCCTTCTCTAGAATTCAAACCCGATCCCTTTGGTATCAAAGTAGGCTCCCCTAACCACTATACCATCTGGGTGGCAATGCTTACTATCATAAAATAAATGAACTTAAATCTTTACTGAAAAATAAATTTAAACTATACAATAGCTTTCTATTTCCAAGTTTTCAAGCACTTTACTTTTAATGCAGATATTATTATTCAATAATATAAATCGGAAATTATCAAAATATTAAGTTACTAAAAGATGCATTATTGTTTAGAAAAGAAAATTACTGACACTATTGAAATAATGACAAATATAGCAATATATTATTAAAAATTTCTTCATCATTATTATTTTTTGGTGCAAATAATAAGCAGACTTAGATATTTTCCAATCTATATAATATGCATTTGAAACTCATTTAATTGATTATGTTAAAAGTACTTAGTTTCCCAATCTTTTTTTTTTCTCACTGCATTTAATCCATCCAAAAGCAAATTTAATTTTTTTTTCTTCAAAATTGTTTGATAGAATCAGTACAATATCTTTCTTATGTTTTTGAATACATTATTAAGTTTTTTAACTAACAAGAAGAAAAAAAATAACCCTCAGTCCAATGGGCTGATTGAGAGATTTCATAGGCAACTTAAAAGTGCAATAATGGCTCATAACAACCCAAAATGGACTGAAATTCTGTCTATAGTTCTGTTGGGTATCAGATTTGCCATTAAGAAAGCTATAAAGGCTACTTGTGTCGAACTTTGTTTACAGTACCACACTTGATTACCCTCATATATGCTGAATGTTACTAATTTCGTACCTCATTGGGAATATTATGTGTCACAGCTTCAATCAGTCATGCATTCAGTTAGACTGATTCCAGCCTCTAAGCATGTTCAACCGTCCATATATGTACACATGGTATTTCAGACCCATTCTCATGCATTTCTACTTATTTATTCTGTTAAACCTCCTCAACTCAACCTTGCACCAGACCCTTGTTAAACAAACGGACAAAAAATTTTATTATTGAGGTTAAATAACAAAAACATTACAGTTTCAATTGATCGCCTTAAACCAGCGTATGTTGTCAGAACATATAGATACACCTGTAACTTCTCAGATTCCACATCAAAAAGTCTGTGAAGACTTCCAAAACGAGTAATTACTCGCAGTGGACATCGTGTTCATTTTCCCAATAAACTAATCACTGTAATATAATTGAATGTTTTTCTCTTGTGATCTGCTGCAAAATTTATAGTACATAAATACTTGATTAATTTCTTTTGCATAAGATTGGAAGTTGCTTAAAATTCTTATTTGATTAACTTTTCATTATTTTTGTTTAATTTGATATTCATTCTATTGTTATATATTTCAGTTAGAATTTAAGTGTATTATTTATTACTCGTATATTATTATTAATATATCTTGTATTGTTTTTGTACATATATTTTAAAGGATAACATTTATTTGAATGTGTATATTTTGCAATCAACCTCTTTTGTGTGACTGTGTTACTGGGGGATACTCTGTGGCAGTCTTATGTTTGGTTGCACGTGGCGCCAGATGACACCATGTTGTTTTTGTAATAACCACTGCTGCTTCCAGGAACTCACTCACATTGCCCTTAGCTGAAGTGCAAGGATTGTCAAGCTCTCACATAGAAGTTTTTCTGTTTTAATGAATACTTGTGTTTAGCAATGTGTTGTCATGTTTTCTAAGCATATTCACTGAGCCATATTCTTCACACCATAGGGTCATTTATCATATTCTTGGTTCTTAAGTATCATGAAATTATTCTGCCCATGGCCAACAAACAAGTATATAAAATAGTTACATATATATATAGTTAACAAGAACTTTTTAATGATAATGAAAAGCAAGCAAGGCATACCTGCACATTTTATAGGCATTTAAAATATCAATTTCCATTTCTTCAGTTTGGTCAGGTACAAAACGGAATTCTGAAACGAACCCTGGTGTGTGTTGAGCAGGGTCATAATCTCCAAGCTCAGCTAAAAATAATTTAATTTTTTAAACACAGCAGAAAGCAAGAAGAGTCTTGGAAAAGTAGAAAAAGTATAAATTGATTATAATTTTCATAACCATATTTGAGTTACGAAGTAATCAAAAGAAAACAAAAATTAATCAAGAATGTTATTTTTCTAATAGAATTCCCTTTGGTCAGAAAATTCTAGATGCAACTGTATTAACTGCTTTTCAAAAATCTAATGACTATTAAAGATTTTAGATCTGAAACATCTGGTGATAGAAACATTTACATACTTATATTTTTAGAAAACTTTAGAAAAGGTTGACGTTTTAAATTTGAATATTTCAGCTAATGATTATACATCAGTACTTCAAGAAATTTCAATTAACTGACCTACTTCTGGAATCTAAATACATGTTTTTAGCAAATAGTTTAATAAATTTAACAGCATAAGGAATTTTTTTTTATCATTTTACACATCTAGATAAAACTTACTATACCTAAGCTTTTTAAATCAAATTTGAGACATTTATTCTATAGTGGAAGAGAAACACGCTAATGTGACAATCAAAATCGTAAAAACAACCTTGTATTTAGCGTAAATATATTGAAATACTCAATCGATTTCGAGGGCAGCTAAAGGTCCCTCCTCATCAGGAGAAAGAAATACCTAGAAAGAAATAATGGGGAAGGAGTCTCAGAAACTCGTGGTCCTTATCAGCATTGCACGTGGTTATAACTGGATTTTTAATCAGAGTTGCACTGGCCGCCTACTTTTACTGAGCCAGGCTATCTGATCAAGCATAAAGGACAAGAAATATTAGCGAAGTTAAAAATAGGGAGCGAGGGGCAAATGCACCTTCACGCTCAAAATCTGAACTTCAAATAATGGAAAGCAACCACTGAATGGATTTTTATACCCTCTGGTAGTACTAAACGCGAGGAGGTAACGCCATCTATCGGCAAAAATAACTGAATTAAGATAGTAGAATTTTAAAGGCATTAGGAAGGACTGGATTGGACTTCAAATCATTAAATAAACCTGCTAAATCTTTGTGAATATGAAAAGCCTCAAGGAAATCCAATTCACCTATGGAAGAAGCCTTTTTGATAATTTTTGCAGATCAGTCAAAATTATGGTTAAATGTCCAACTATGATACTCTATTGAAGACTTGTTAATTTCACCTTTTCTGACATAAGATTCATGTTCCTTGATACGAAACTTCAACGCTCTTTTTGTTTGGCCAATATATCTTAAACCACACTGACACGATATGCTATAAATTCCCCAAGACACTGACATGATATGCTATAAATTCCCCAAGAATTCAAGACAGAAACGCAATCTTTTAGAATCGAAGGGTGAATTTTATTAATAGGGGAGAAACCAACTTGAAAATTGAATTTCTGGAGAATACGTGCAATTTTATAGCTAACAGAAGGATAAAATGGAAGCACGACAAGGTCATTAATATTATTTCTAACAGTGGAATGTCTTCTTTGAAGGGAATCTGAAAATATTTTAACGGTTTTATCAATAATCACGGGAGAAAATCCACGGTCAATCGCAACTGCTCTCAAATAATTAAGTTCATTGGTAAGCAAAGATTCAGAGGAACAAACTTTAAGCGCGCGGAATACATAATAGTAAAAAGAAGCCATTTTTTGCTTAACAGGGTGGCATGACTTGGCATGGGGTGGTAAACAAACTGCAAAGGGTTTACGGTACACAGTGGTGCTAAAATCAGTTTCATTGCGGATTACAAGAATATCAAGGAAGGGGAGGGAATTGTTGGATTCAATTTCAAGAGATTTATTCTATACTTCATGACAAGCTAACCTGAGAACACATACAAGGCTAGAACAACCTTTTCACAGCTTTTCACCCTGTTCTTCAAGTTATTCATATGCAGCAAACTGCCAGCGGAGATTCAATTCCTCTAATTTGCTACACATTTGGTGACTTCTTGCCAAATCCAGCATATTTAAATAACAATCTTTTTATGCAGTGAAGCTGCAGCTGAAATTGATAGTTCATCATAGTGTAAAATGTAGGGCATGTTATTAATTGTCTTAATTTATGTGAAATATTTCACTATTATCTAATTTTTTTTTTTTTTTTTTTTTTCTTTTTTTTTTTTTTTTTTTTCTTTTTTTTTTTTTTTTTTTTTTTTTCTGATGAATACTAATTTGATGATCTTTAAAACTTGAAACCGGAAGAGCTAACAATGATTTCCTTGCAGTTTGGGTCAAATTTTTCCCCAAGACAAGACCGTTCGCTTAGTTAAAAGTAAAATATATAAATTTGGAAAATCTTGTAGTAAGTTATTTTCTTTTAATTTTTAAACATTTACCGTGTTAGTTTATGTTTTTATCCTTTCCGAATGAAACTTGTTGCTTGCTACCAAAACAGTGAACGAGGGGAAAATTTTTATTTTTATTTTTTAAATACTTTAATTTGTGATTGTTAATTTTAATTTGCAATTGTTTTAAAAACTCTGACAATATTTTATAGCAGACATTATCAAAATTATATCCTGTATTAATTGTCTCCTAAGAAACACGCATTTCCAGTCAGTCTCAGAAAATCACCCTCCTACAGTACGTTTTACCCTATCTTTCTGATTACTATTTAAAATCAAAAATAAAATGAATAAAAAGATTGGAAATTGAGATCCTCAGATTGCGGTCAATTAAAGAGCTTACCATTAAAAATTTCAAGATATTAGAAAAATATTAAAGTTTTAAAATTGTGAAACAAACTTAAAAATTAAGAATCAAATGATCTTATACCAATTAATTAATCATATACCAATTAATTCCACTAATCAATTCAAATTATAACATTAGAAATGTCTTATATTAGTCACAACAAAGCACAAATATTCATAAGAACTAAAAAAGTATAAAAAAAAATCAAATTCTTGAGAAGTACATTTATTGCTTTTAAAACATTTACCGTGTTAAACGACAGTTTGCTTGTATTTTAAAATTAAAGTTTTTATCCTTTCACGAATGAAACGTGTATGCATGACGGGGCGTGAAAGGTGGGTCTTTTGCTTCGTGCAAAGGAATATATTGCTTTTACATCTCTCAATTTATATAAAGCAGACTGATTCAGCTCACTGAGAATCTGCGAATAATATGTGAATGACTGCATAAGTTAGGCAAAAACCATACATTTCCTTTGAGGTATAAAAACAACAAGCATATCATATGAAAAAAATCTGGTTATTCCTTTCCTTAGATGGAATCATCTGTAAGTCAAGCGCATTAATGATCGAGTTGCTTAAGCCGTGAAACACTGGTAGTATGCAGCGAGTTTGTTTGTAATGACTTTTGTAAGCTCTGAACTGCATAGGAGTCCCTCAGTGTGTTGTGTAAGAAAAGTCCTTTACCCTTATAAATTTCCCACAAAGCCATCTCTTCCTTTAGACAGAAACCCTTGTTCCTTCTACCATAGTTAATGTAATTGATCAGTACATCCATATTGGTTAGGTTAGGTGATTTGAATATAGCAAAGCACACACGAGATAACCGACTAAGGGGTGAGATACATTTCGTGGAAGACTTTCTAAATGAAACAAGCTCGTATTCATGTTACACATAGGAAAACCATCAAAACCGACCATAAATACAGCCCGTTCGCTTGCGCTCAAATGATTCAGCGATTTAACCACTCGGCTACTGGTGCGACAATTCCATATTATATTTTCTAAGGGATTTGTTAGCTTGTGTTTAGAGTGAACAGATAGAAGCTCCATTACCAGCTGAGCGAATTCAAAAGTCATCTCCTTTCGAAACTACCGGAATTGATTTTGCTGGACCACTCTACGTAAAAAATAATAACTCTGTTACAAAAGCTTACACTGTCATCTTCACATGTGCTACAACTCGAGCTATCCACTTAGAATTAGTTTCCGATCTGTGTACTGACATCTTCCTACTTGCATTACAATGTTTTGTCTCTAGACGTTCACTTCCTCATACAGTGTACACTGATAATGCCACAACGTTCTGCGCTGCGGACAAAGAGCTGAAATTATTGTGGGATACTATATCCTCTGCCAAGGCACAACAGTTTTATATGCCCACCACAACATCAAATGGAAATTCATCGCCCCCCGAGCGGCTTGGTGGGGAGGATGGTGGGAAAAGAATGATAGGCTCAATTAAGCGATGCCTTCGGAAAACATTAGGTAAGGCTCTTTTGGATGACGCTGGTTTGATCACTGTATTATGTGATATTGAAGCCGCTCTTAACAGTAGACCGATTGTCCACGAATACGGAATAAAAGATGACTCTGAGGAAGCTTTAACACCCTCGCACTTCCTCATAGGAAAGAAATTAACTACTATTCCTTCCAGCCCCACAAATCCTGAAACAAATTTAAATCGTATGTGGAAAAATCGTCAACATTTGATGGACTCCTTTTGGAAAAGATGGCAAAAGGAATATTTGATAGACTTGCGCACATTTCATCAAGTGCGGAATTCATCTGAAACAAATAAAATACGAAAGGGGATATTGTCCTACTACAAGAAGATATTAGACCTTGCCACACCTGGAAAAAGGCCCGTGTTGAGAAGCTAATCCTTGGCCGCGACAGAAAAGTCCATACTTGTGTTCTGTGCACCAATGGACATACCATTACCCAACCTGTGCAGCTGGTCATCCCCCTGGAGGTTGACCAGGGTGGGGAGGAAGTTGCGGCAAAGCCAGCGAACTATTAAAAATAACATTACCCTTTTTGTAAATGGCATCATTTATGTTTTTGTATTTATAAATGTCTTTTGCTTGTTCTATACTTTATGTTTATGTTAGGAAATAAATGATTATAAAATACTATCTCCTAATAGCTTGTATTTATAATGTTATTTATAACTGTTTATAGGTCTGCCTTTTTTTTTTTTTTTTTTTTGCCTTGAAAACGTATTTTTAATTTGTGGCATTGGAAAGGGATTTTTTTTTAACTCAGATATTCAATCCTGCAAAGATTATAACAAGTAACAATATTGTTATCGTATTTCTTAGGAAAATGCCCACCCGTAATTGACAAAAAACATTAATTACGATAATCTTAGCGGTACTGTTTATTCAGATGTATGACGTCTTCCAGCTTTATGAGGTTGAAAATTATACACATATGTCGAAGATGAAGCAGAATACCATAACAATTGCTTTCTTCTTCTCCCAGTCAGTGAATGAATGTCTTAATTGCTTTTCTCGTCAAGAGTGGGGTGAGGTCGGGGTTGCTGGAATTTGCAGTTTCGCCAATAATGCCAAAAAAGGGGGATGTCTTTCAGCTGGTTATTGAATGATCGACACGATTTAGAAAATTTTTAAACAAAAAGCTGGACGCAACGTAATCTATCGTTTCACACATTTTTTCCTTCCGTTATCTTTCTTCAACAGTATTCATATATCACAGCGTAAATTTTACAATATTACGTCTCAAAATGGTAGAACTATATTCTACGGCGGACACATACACTTTCTAGTATATCCAGTGCTCTCAACTTAGGTTGACCTGAAGTATAATAAGTAAAAATTTTCTTTTAAAGTTTTTTTAGTGCATTCTATAAGTGAAACATGAACTGTTTTAATTTTAGAAACATTAAAAAATATATATATACAGCAGATTCTGGATTTTACATACTACTACTACAACTACCAAAAAAAAAAAAAAAAAGGTTTCTATGGATCACAAGATAATAGTCTAGGGGTCTGGTTTGGTTTTGCCAATTTAATTTTTTTAATGCATATATCAACAGAATTTAAGATCTGATCACAGTATAAAGTAACTTGCTGTTAATGCATTTTTCTGCCATTTTTAAAATTTGCATATATGTACACAAGTATTCCATTTTAGAAGTTTATTTTCTCAATTTTGCTTTTACATATATGTAATACTATATCACCCCCCATGAAAGATTTTGTATTTAGATGTTTATTTCTTTCATTAATTTCATTTGTCTTCTATCATATTCTTTATTTCCAATTCAAATCTTAAGAACAGAAACACTATAAATTTGCATTAACTAGCATGTCAATAACCAAAACTTTCTACATATATCAATGATGGGGCACCTATACTGAATGTCAAACATGCACATCAGGGGACTTTGGTGTAATGCATTTAAAGGATATAGCTTCAAATTCTAGTTTCATTCCTCATTTTTTTCAAAAAATAGAGCAGTAGATTTAGAGGTATGCCCTTGGAGTTTATCCTGACGAAATTTGACACAGTAAAGGTTGTTTGGATAAAAAGATGGAATAAAACCTTTAGAAAAACTTTACTTGTTTTCTCTGAACCAACACATTAAGTCTTTTTCTTCATTTTTTTCAGGAGTAGATCAATCTTTTCCTATTGTAATCAGATAAGTATATTCAAGCCACATCAACTGTAACTATATATTTCTATTTTTCACCTGCCAAATAACTTTCATACAGCAATCTGCAGAGTCTTATGTTGAGAAACATGTTTCGGCCTCAGACAATGAAAGTCATATTTTTTTTTTTTTTCGATTAGCTTTAAATCAGATGTTATTATTTTGTTAACAGTTCCTACAGAGATATTTAAAGATTTTGCAATAGCTCTTTGTGAGGCTGGATTTTCCTTTAAAACATGAAATGTGACTTTAGGTTTAATAAGAGCTGTATGTACCTTTGTTAGTATGCATTTTTTGCTATTTTCTCAGTCAGAAGTAAATGTTGACATTTCTTTTCTTTCACATTAATTATGTCACTTATTTTACATATAGAAAGATTAAAACAATGCTTTTCACGTCTTTTTATTGAATAAGAGTATTTCTCTTTGATCCATTATTTAGTTTTCAGCAACACTTAAAAAAAAAAAAAAAAAAAATTAATGCTGCAGACGATAATTAAACCTTAATCCAATTTGATGCCAGTCCCATTTGTATTTTAAAATTAATATTTAAATTCATAGAAAAAACCAAAATCATCACAAAAATCTGTAAATACCCTCTGTATGTGTTTGCAAAAGTATGTAGCTTAATATTTCCTTAGAAAAATATAAAGAAAGAAATAAGGTAAGAAATTATGATTATGTCTTAGTGATTCACACTTACCAACAGAACTCAGAACACAAAAAAAGCACGAACACAAGGAAATTTAAAACTTACACTGTAAGGCATATGCTGAAAGTTCTACAGCAGTCTGATATGGTGCAGGAAGTTTACCAGATACAACATCTTGCTTTAGTTGCAAGAAGAATAAATACCTAGAAGCAAACATAATTTAAATATATTTAATTACTTTGATCCAAAGAAAATGTTCAAAATAAAATACAGTCTTCAAATGGAAAAAAGGAAATTCACAAAGGAAAAAAAAAAAAAAAAAAAAAAATAGTTTTCAGTCAATTGCTACAAAAAGATTATATGTTTGTCAAGGCAAGTTTTTCTTCCCTTTTCTTTTAGCTTATAATAATAATAAATAATAATACAAAAAAAGTTTAATTAAGTAAGACAAAATAGATTTTAAAATTATACAGAACAGATTATAAAAGAAAAACATAGGTTTAGCAGAATTTTTTGATCATGCAGCATTAATATGATGAAAACGTTACAGATGTTTTCCATAAAAACATCTCTATTAAAAAAATTGCCTGCTTTTGCTAGGTCTAGGTTTATGAGAAATTTACATTCCAAGTTTGGGCTAATTTGCTACCTTTATATTATTAAACACAGTTCAAGTAATTCCCCCCCCCATTCTGCTCTTAAGCACATTTTAAGTTATTTAATAATAATAAAAAAACTTAAAACAATAAATTCAAAATGGGAGAACACAACATAGAAACAGTTTGAAACTTAGATGAAATATGTTTTTCAGTGCAGCTTGAGCCTTAACACGCAATAAAATTTCTGATCTAATGAAACTATCTAATCTATCATGCTAATAATGGGTATGATTCTGAAATTTATGAGGAAAAGGAATAATAATAATATTTTTTTTTAATATCACGTTATTTTAATTAAATTATTAAGTTTTAAACTGATGTTTCTCAGTTTGAAGGCAGTTCTTTTTGTATTTTAGGCAATTAGCAGTTTGTGGCTGTAAAAAATGTTACAAAATCTATATTTATTTCCTTAAAATATTTAGCAGGAAAGTGTTATATAATTCTTACACTGCTATAACATACATGATATGAAACTGATTATTATTCTGATGCACCTTGACATATCAGAGATGCATAAACAAAATGTCCTGTGAACAAATTTCAATTTTCTCCTATTAAATGAAGCACGACAAGTTTTTAATATTAAGAAATAAAAATTTCCAAGCAAAAAAATCAGTCTTTCTTATGCAACAGGTATTTATGAAACATATATAGTTACAATGCTTACATTTATAAACACTACTATTTTGTTAAATTAGTTAAAACAAAGCATGTAAGTGCTACAATGTCTTCATAAAAACATCTTATCAGAGAAATGGGCAAGTAACCATGTTTAACATGAAGAAAACACACCCCCCAAAAAATGTCACATAGTATGCCTACTAGGATAGATGATAACAATATAAGTATGCCTACTGGGATAGATAATAATAATATAATTTTAAAACAACTACTGCAATTTCTGAAAGATAACTTCTGCCAAGATTTTCTTTTTACAATTTGCCATTTCTTTTTACAATTTCTTTTTACAATTACTTCCAAGCTTGATAATTTCTGATAATAAGTAATTAGAGGCTCAAACAGTAGTACCCAATTTAGTTGGCCAGAACTTCAAGAAATATAAACATCAAATTGCCAATTTCCATGCCAAAAATTCTACCAGCATTAAATCAGGACACGTATTACACCAAAGTAAGAATCAACCCCACAAATCCAGCAAAGTCATTACTACAGAGCAAAGATTTTTAACATGTCAATGTTACTTTGCCCATCCCTAGAGTAAAAAAACCTTGACCACCTTCTAATTATTTCAGTATAAATATTAAGAAGACAGATTTTTCAGACATATAATAGAGTAACTTGATATTAACGCCATCTTTTTTTGATGATCCTACATTTTGCTTTTGCACCCTGATTAACTTTTTTTATCAAAGTCATCTTGAGCTTCATGCCTTAGGTAGGGCTACTAACTACTACACAAATAAACAGAACCCATTTGTACCATATGATTTATTTAGTACGTTAGTTAACATATCAAGTAAATTCTACAGAAAAAATAGTAATTTCCTGTTAGAAATTCTACATGTTTCCATATTATGCCCTTTTCTGAACAGTAAATGAAATTGATTTATATGAAATTTAATTAATGAAATACTTGTCCATAGACTATATCGAATTGTTTAGTACACAGAGTAGAAAATACAAATTTCTCAGAATTTATTTATACAAGGTGATAGAAATTCAAACTTATATTTAGAAAACAAAAATCTGAATGCTTTCAGATTTTATATTACATCCAAAGGGGCATCTTTTAACAATTTGTGTGCTACCTTTACTTACTAAACATCACGTTCTTTACACTTAAACTATAAAATTCAATTTAACACTGATATCACAAAATATTTAAAAGAGCATATCTTTAGAATTTCCGATACACAGTCTCGTGTGCTGGAGATAAAAATGTTTCCCCCACCCTCTACAGTATTGCTATTGCTTGCTCTAAAATCTTTGACTTTGTTTAATAAAAAAATTCTTTAATGTTGGAGAAAATATGAAATAGCTAATAAAACAAATTCCAAATTTGGGCTTCCGGATGCCTATGTTCGAACGAAGATCTACGTTATTAAAACTTTGATGGCTCTACGTACCATTGTTTTTCCAAAGTGCAAGAAACATACATACATTCATGCAGATTCTTCATTATTTACTTTCTTTAAATATAATGCAGGGCTCTAATATTTGGTGGCAACAATTTGAAAAGTTAGCCGACATTTGAACTGATACAAAATGCCAAAACGAAATTAATAGCCCTTCTGGGCAAATTGATCCTTGGGGCTAATAATAAGCCTTTACCTTAATTTAGTTTCACTTTAATGACTAGAGGTTTGATAATAATATTATGATACATAAATGTCATACACATCTAATAACTGTTTCTTAATAGAAGAGTAAAAATGCACATTACCGAGTCAATTCTTCCCGTAAAGAATTGGGCTCAGATGAATAGAATTTCACTCTTACACGAAATGTATAAGGAGGCCCAACTAAAAATAATAATAACAATTTATTTCAAAACAGAACAGAAACACGCCAATGTAAAACATAAAATTAGCAAACTTTAAGTTAGATCTACACCAAACACAAGGTTTCTTAATATCTTAATCACACCCATGGTATCAGAACACATACAGGAATAAAATATCAGTTCATATATTCATTTAAAAATTTATATCTAAAAAATAAATTTAAAACATTTTCAGAATTTTTACACAAAAAAACAAAGATATAATATTTACAAATAATAAATAAAAAACACTACAATATCTTGTAAATATTATATACACATTATATGCTACATAAGATGTCCAATAAATACTGCAAAATTCCCATAGCAATATTCCTCATTCTAAATTAATAAAGCTAGCTGAAGAACTATAACACTTTGAACAACAGTTTTGAAGGAAAACAAGCATGAAAACTTATTATGCTACCTAAATCCAGAGTAAGAAAATTAAATTAATTTAGTATTAAATATTATGATTCAGACTCACAAAATCTTTTTCTTCTCCCCCCCCAAAAGAACATAATTATGAAATGGTAAAGGTATAGAAAATAAAGAATACTTTTAAAGGAAAAAATTGAACTAAAAAAAAAAAAAAAAAAAAAAAAAAAAAAAAAAAAAAAAAAAACTAGTGGGCAACTTTACATTTATAATAATTCACAATTCATTAATTAATGAAATTTAATAAATTATTTATTATTATAAAGGACTCAAGATTACCAAATCATCTCTAAATATTGATCAAATAAATTTATCAGTTTATTTAAATAGTTAATGCATCATTATTATGGGAAAACACAAAATTCCCTTCTCAGATTTAGATGGAATAATGCATTGGTGCTTTATATAGGATAGGTGTCCGTTTATTAAGGGCTAACATAATTTCGACAAGCAGTATATTATCTATATAATATGAAGCAATTTATATATATATTTTTATGATAAAAACAAAGGTGATAAAGAATCAGTGGAAATATACCAAAGCTATTTTAGATGAAATTTAAGATGTACCACTATCAGCAAAAAATTCTTTATGATTACAACTATCACATCAGTGACTCTTCTGCATAATGTCTGAATTCTAACATTTACTTTGTTTATTGCTGACTGCAGTGCCAAAGGGCACAGGTTCGAATCTTTGAAAAGGCATGGATGTAATTTATTCGCCCCTTCACAGGAGACAAAAATGGCCCACCTATTAGGTGCTTGCATAATAAAAAGACCACCACTTTCAACTTAAGTAGTGGCCAGAGTTTATAAACAGCTAGAGCACACTGTTTGGGGACGGGACTTAACTATCAGGTTCTTACCTTTAAAAAAAGAGCTTGAGAGGATTTATTGAATGCTTTAAGTGTTAATCAATGCAGTATACAAGAAAAAAATTACAAGACCTTAAAAATGTCTAAAACAGGAAGAGTGGGAAAGATGCTAAACACCGGTAATTTGATCAAGAGAGCGTTTTTATGGTCCCCTCATAAAAAAAATATGTGTGAAGCACCAAATATGGCACTTTTGTTAAGTTAGCTAAGAAACTAGTGCATACATTTGGTCAACAACCGATTTAAATTTTGCTATGAAATTATATTGCTTAAATCTCGGCTGTCTTCAATATGAATTTTATTCACTGCTTGGCAAAAGTTAGTTACAAAAGGTAAAATAATGCATTTCAGGATATCGTAAAAAAAATCCCACCTCTGCTTCTTTGTCGATAAAGAAATTTTGTACAGTATGATTCTAAAGGATTGCTACTCTGTGTGCTTCGTATTTCACCATTTAGCTGTGCTTCGTATTTCACCATTTAGCACTTCACACTTTTTCAGTTGTTTAAGTTTATGTGCCAATGTCTACATTTATGAAATTATGTTTATGATTTACATGGAAATGTTATATTGGAATACACAATGGATCTTTCATTTTAGTTATTTTTAATTGCTTTGCTGATTATTGTCATTGAATTATTAGTATTCTGAGATAAAAGCATTCATTGCTATCTCTGGAAATGCCACCAGATATCTACTGCTGAAGAAGATATGTCTAACTTAATTATGTTTAGTGTTATGTTAGTCACTTCCATTCACTTTGGCAAACTCGGATTTTTGTTTTTCTCTGTAATATTTCAGCAGAAACTTCACAAAAATAATTATTAAAATTTATTACAATAACCTTTAAAATTTCCAGCTAATTTTTACACCACTTGATCACGTTAATACTTCATTCCAAGAAAAACAAGTCTCAGAAGTGTGAGACAGTTGAGATGATTGATACCATATACTGGCTACATACATGTTTTTGTTTGTTTGTTTGTTTTATTTTGATGCTAAAACTTAATGACAATATCAAGTTCTAAATATGAATAAAAGTTTCATTTTGTGAGCAAATGATGTAATAATATTAAAATCATTTTCATTATAATGACCAATCATAACATCCTTATTAATCCATATCAGAAGACCTTATGTTACACAGCAATGCAGACAGCTTTTATCCAATCCTTGAATATGATTTCAATTAAATCTGGAACCTTTTAAGCTCTCCTCTTGAACGCTTACTTCCGGAGGCATCATGTTCTGTTTCCAATCCATATCTGCCAACTTGCTGCTGCTGCTTGTCTTCAAAAAAATTATTTTACAAGTCTATGAGTACCATTATGAAATTCTTTAAGAACAGGGTGCTCTAACTTTAAGTGTTGTCTTAAGGAAGAAAGTGTATCAACTACAGTCAAAAGTCTTTAATCCGGACTCGTCGGGACGTCGGCGATTCCAGATTATCAGTTTTTCCAGATTATAGATAATCAGTTTAAATCTGGTATGATGGCATGCAGAAATTATAAAATTAAAAATATGAAACCGTAATTTATGAAATAAAGAGCAATTATGATCTAAAGAGTAACAAAATTTAAAAAAAAAAAAAAAAAGCTTAATATTTATTTGTTTACTTTATTAAACATTTCTTTCAACGCGCACATGCGTAAAGCATACATTATGCATAGTCGAAATTAGAAAATTGCAACCAGAAAACTATTTGATGTGTATTCGTGATATTTATAATGATGAAGAAATTGATTTAAATTATATCCGAGTACATCGAGATGAAACACTACATTTAGTGAGGAGTTATAGGCGGAATAAAATAAAAACATCTGCTCTGAAGATGAGGATAGTGTTGACAGATCAACTTCCAGTTCATTGCCTGCCGTGACTCCCCCCCCCCCCCCAGAGCAGCGTGAAACAGATTTCGGACACTTTCTTCATGTTTTTATCCATTTTTTTGCAGCAATTCCACTTTTTGTTTAATGGACATAGAAAAATGCTTTTGCTTTGTAGATTCTTTGGCAGCTCCAAAATTAGAAACTCTTTTTGACATATTCGAAACTTCAAACTTACTTTTTATAGAATTGCTCTAACAGTCTGCAAAAAATAATAAGACGGATCCAATTCGAAGATTAAGGAACAACGCAATCTGCAACATTAACTGAAATAGATAATTTTAGCCTAGCTTATACTGTTTGTTATACATTAAACGCGCATGCGTAAACGTATTATGCGCATGCGCAAAGATATTTTGCGTAAACGAATTATGCATTTACGCATGCGCAGAAAGTTTGTAGCTTTGAGGTCCGGATTATAGATCATTCCGGATTATGGACGTCTGGGTTAAAGACTTTTGACTGTATAAATAAAAAGTAATAATTGGATTTGGCTATATCTGCAAATTTCTGCTTATGACATCAACAAGCTACTTCTAAGTTTTATAATGCAGAAACATCTCTAAAACTATTACAATGAGTTATTTTTATGTTAAATCTATTACAATGAGTTGAGTTATTACAAAGAAACATTTCCAAGTTGTTACAACACAGTAAACATCTATTTACGTACATAATATGCATTACCAATGATAATAAAATTAAACAAAATTTTCAATAATATTGTTAATCACATAATTTCTTCAACTTATTTCACCAAGAAAAATAAAAATTCTAAAGCAAAATTAGCTGATTTAATAATCAATTAATGAAGCGGTAATGCAACAAAATCAATGATTTAATTAGGAAAAAATAATCACTAAAAATAACAAAAAATTTCTCTTAAATTAGACAAAGAAATAAAAGCAAAAGTATATTAAAAAAATTTTATACTCTCACTTATATGAATAATATTTGCAAATGCATCACACACATAAAAATTAACAGGGAATGACTTACTTTTTACTTGCTTTTTTATGAGTTTAGTGGGATCAAGCCAATGCTAAAAATGGAAAAAGTTAGGTTTTTAGAAAAAAATGTATAATGAAGAACAATATAAAAGTAAATACTAAATTAATGCAAATTCAAATTGAACAGTTTGTTCCATTAAAAAAAAAAAAAAAAAAAAAAAAAAAAACTGAATGAGAGCTGCTATACAGGAATTAAGAGAGAGAAAGCAGAGAAGAGAAAATATTTCCCATTTTTAAGTATTTAACAAGCTTTAAACTAGGCCGCAAAAGAATGACTTTAAACATAACTTATAAATGCACAGACAAGTTACCCAGCAAGTTTCTCATTAAAGTTCCAAACAAAACTACATAAAATCACTGAGGAAATGAGATTCAGTCCCATTACAAAATTCCATTGAAAAGAAAGCAATTCTTCTCTATCAGTTACAAAATAAGTAAATTTGGAGGGATTATGATACTCCAAATTATGATGAATTATAAGACTGATAAGAAATCTGAATACAGAAGTCCACTTTATTTAAGAGGTACTTAACTGGTTTGATGATTTGCCAAATAGATTTCTATTCTTTTCTAATTTGTCTATTGGAATATACGGATTTCAATATAAAATTTGATGATAATGAGAAAATAAAGAATGAAGGCATAATAGCTCATATGTTTGTATTCTTGATTGAGAAATCATAGATGATTGTTTCCTCCCAAGTGACTGGCTTCAAATTTATACTCCCTGGTTGAAGCTGGAAAGCTACTGCAGCATGGGTGACGATTGTGAATTTTAAAATTTTACTTAATTGTGGAACCTTTTTAACTGCATTGAATGGTAAGGTGAAACTATATTTATAGCTATTTAACAGCTTTTATTAAACAGGATTTCTTTATGCAATAAATCAGTACTACGGCTACTTTCTCACAATCACCACTGTGCAAACTTTCATGTGACGGATTACACATTTCTACTGAAGTTTTCACAAAAGATTTATTTCCAATACATAACTGTACACTGATAGCAGACAACGAGAATATATATTTTTAACTAAACATGTGACTTATAGTCTTAAACCTTTATTTTTTATCCATTAATTATAAAAATGAATTTCAGAATGCATACTATTGTCTATGAACAAGAATTATTCAGAACTTCATAAATAAATTTGTGCAATTCCTGATACTCCTAGAAAGGCTGCTGTTCAATGATTTAACAAACACAATTGCCTATATGCTCACCTTCTTCAATAAAGAGTTAAAACGATTCCTGAACTATGTTTCAGGTGATTTGTATCAACTTATGCCAGTTGAATATTTGTGTAGATGCTCTGAACTTACAGTTTTAAATAATATTGTGAAAATGTACTTAACCCTAAAACTGGTGCTCGAGCACTAAAGCTTGGCATTTTTGAACAAAAGCAACCAAACATGCAAAAAGCTTTGAATACATTTCAATGCGTATATGTAGGGAAAGAAAGAAAATTGGAAAAAAAAGTATATGTACTTTTTCTATATTAAATCCTTTAATGTTCAGTTTGTTTTGAGAAAAAACGCCCAAAATAAATTTTCTTTTTTAAACTGAAGACATTTTACTATTTCTTCTTCTCAAAATATTTATGTGATTATGGCAAAGCCTCGAGGGCTATCTGCCTAAGCGAAGGGATGGTTTTACAGAGGACTTCTAAGGGAAACTGGCTCTTATACATGTTACACATGGGGAAACACCCATTCGAGGGATTTGAACCTCAGACCCAACTACCAGTGTTTAGCAACTTTACCGCTCGGCCGCTGGTGAGCCTCTTTTCAAAATGAAAATTTGAATACATTTTGCTTTAGCAAACTCAACAAATTCTTGAAAACATTTAGTAAAGTCTCAATAGTACACATTTATGTCTAGTTTAGTAATAAAAATTTTTAAGCCGTCCAAATCACAATCAAGCATAAATTCTAATGGGCAATTATTAAACAATAAAATGTTTTTATTACACTGAAATAAAATAACTTTGCTAAAATACTAAAGGGAAAATTAAATAAAATGTCCATTTAAGAATAGAACGTTGATCCAATAACTCATAATTTTTTTAATTACATATTCCTATGCTAACGGCAGCCTGCCATTTGATAATGGAAGTAAGATTCCTGCACAACATTTCAAATATCTTTTATATCTCACAAGAATAAAAGTCTCGGTCATACAATAGTATATTATTTTTTCCATTAGTAATTAACTTTTCTCAACATATAAAACATTAAATTTTTACTCTGAATATATAAAGCACTAAATTTTATGCTTTGATATTTTATTTTTTTCATTAGCAATTAACTTTTCTCAACATATCAAGCATAGAATTTTTACTCTGAATATATAAAGTACTAAATTTTATGCTTTGCTATCTTATAAATTGTTTGTTTATAAACTTGGGAAATTAGTTTAAATTAATTGAAAACAATAGTTAAATAAATAAATTAAAAAACATGTTTCACTCACTTTTATTCATTTTTTCATTAGGTTAGTCAATAAACTTTTAAAGGTTATTGGAGTTCACCTCATTGTGCTGTCACAAACAGCCACCAAGGACATTGATTGTTTTCTGCATATTTTCCATATTGAAATTTCAATCTTTAATTAGATGTTTTTATGCAATATAATTAATATTTATTCATAATCAATAAATTAATAAAAATCTAATTCTACTTTTTTACAAGGTTTTCTTGTGTAATCAGGAAAAGGTGTTTTAACAATGAAAATAACATATATGATTTTATATTAAATTTAATTAGAGAAACAGCAACAGAAATACAGCTAAAATTGTTTTAAAGATTTTATTATAATGCATAATTGTCAGTGAAATTTATTTTGTGCATGTATTTATATCCACAAAATAAAGTTCAATGACTGCACAGGAAAAAAAAAAAAAAAAAAAGAATTTACTGACATATACATATATATATACTGCATATTATAAACAGTACAATATTAGCCCAGGAATAAAGCTTATGAAAAGATATAAAATAATGAAACATAAAATAAGCAGACTATCTGGAGCAAGACATTTTGTACAGTAATTAAAACTTGTTCTGCAGAGTTACAAAAATAAATTGCAAGTTAAATTTCTTTCTTTAAAGTTATCTCCAATCTAAATGAGAGAATGCAATAGATCTGATTCTTTTAATAAAATAACTTTTAAATAAATCAAACTAAAAAAAAAAAAAAAAAAAAAAAAAAAAAAAAAAACTCTACAAAAATGTTTTTTGTAACATATTTGTTCACTATGTATTAGACCCACGAGCGGTAAAGACGCTGAACACTGGTAGTTCAGTCTGATGTTCGAATCCCATGAACAGGCTGGCTGCATGGGCGTTTTCGTGGTTTTCCCCATGTGTAACATATATAGGAGCCAGTTTCCCTTATAAAGTCCTCCAAAAAGACATCCCTACCTTTGGGCAGATAGCCCTTGTGTGCTTTGCCATAATTAAATAATCCAATTCAATCATTATGTATTATAAAAGCAAATGCATAGCTTTTAATCTGGTGTGGGATAATATTCATATGTCATTGTTACAGTAAGTCTTTTCAACAGGTATGAAGCATAGAAATCTAATGAATCCAAAATTATACATCAAAGGCAAATTCATAATGAAAACATCATGCCCAAAATACTTGAGAATCATCTTAGATGCAGAACTGAGACTCACAGAGCATGTCAAAACTTGTGCTAACAGAGCTTTGAAGAGATTAAGAATCATTAAAGTTTTTGGTGGAAAAAATTGGGGGAGCTTTTCCTGGGAAACTTAGAACAACCTACACCTCATTAATTAGACTAACAATGGCATATACTTTTCCTATTCAGGCATGTGATTCTAAGACTGTTCAGGCTTGTGCTTCTATGACTGTCTTGGAGAAATTAGAAAGTGTCCAGGCAAAGGCTACAAAAACCATAACCGGTGTAGTATCTTTCACCAATATTTTAAAAGTAGTTCAAGAATGTGGACTCAAAAGCTTCAGGGAAAAAAAAAAAAAAAAAAAAAAAAAAAAAGACAGTACAATGTAATAAAATTTACAAACAAGCTAAGAAGCTATGTACCAGAACACATCATTAGGAAACCTTTGAAATATTACATTTGTCTGAAATGGTCATCTCCTTTGCAATTTGACAAAGATATTAGAGCAGTTCTCAACCTCAAGCACAAAAAAATTTTCTACCTTCTAAGAGAAAATTAGAGAATTAGAAGGTAGAATTTTCTACCTTCTAATTCTCATTTACTTCTAGGCTTTCTATGAACTCTACTTCGGTAGGTTGTCTAATCAACCTACCAGAGACACGCAATTAAAAGAAACTGATTGACATCATGAAAGTGAAAGGGATCAGGACCATTCAACAATATGTAAAAGAGGACTTTGTCCATGCTTATACAGGTAGTTTATCTGAGACAATCACTAATAAAGATTTTGGAGTATTCCTGACTACCCAGGCAATAGTACTTATCACCCCCCCCCAAAAAATGCACTACAGCCATAGTCTCTAACTTGACTTGTGAAGTTCTGGCACTCAGCAACAATAATAACGTAAATGTTCATCCTTTCGGACACAAATGCCATGGCCAATACCGACTGAAAGAATATTCAAATCCAACAAAGCACCAGCTCCATGAGATCAATGGAGATTGATTTATAATTATAATCATAGTCAGGCTTAGAACTGGCCATCACAGAGAATTGAAAATATGCATAGATGGTAAGAAAAACTACAGAAAATGTGATAACTGCCCAGACAGAGAATTGACAACTGCACATAATTTTGACTATCCATCCATTCTTGCTGAATTGTTAAAAATTGGAGTCTTATTTAAGACACCGAACCCATACAATTACAACATTTTGCAAATTGCCAGGGCTGTCATCACCCATGGCACTATTTGAATAGGCTCTATGATAGACACAACACTAACAACAATGCCGATGATAAGTCCAAGGGATCTATAAATAAAATTCAACTTTTCGTTAATACTTTTTAAGTATAATTATCATTTACACAGATAAGTGAATAAAAGCATAATTTAAAATGGCTTTGTAACTTCATCAAAAATAATACAGGTTCTGCAAAGCATAACACTCTTCTAAATAAGCAAGAGAAGTCTTTAGGTAAAATATGATGCTTAGGTCTTGGTGATCTGTGCAATCAGCCAATGCACAATTAACAGTATATTTTGCAAATAAATAATAATGCTGTTTATTTCAGTGTTAAACCTCTTTGTATAGGATGGCACAAATGAACTGAATAAAGTAGCACTAAACATTCAGGTGTGTAATTCAATTATAGATTTTACAAAAATCTTACAAATTCATATAGAGAAAGAAAGAGAAAAAAATATATCACTTTTCAAATATAATGCAACTATTTCAGTTAAGAAATAAAGCCAACATTCTTGGAACCTAAAATATATTTATAATTATAAATGCGGTAGTGGATTAACACAGGGTAAGAATGATTTAAAAAATAATCAAAACGTTATATTAATATATAAGTATATCCTCCACGATCAACAAATTGAAAGGTCTCATTTATTTACATGACAATTAACATTTTTATTACTCAAGCCTTTTAAAATATACTTCCTATGCAAAGATCAAGATTATATTGATGCATTACATTGTTGAATTATGACAGAGTATTTGAAGACTAACTGGCCTTAGAGGTGAATTTTTTCTTCAAGAACTGTGAAAGAAAAGCCAACTTTATACATAGCATATGTTCCAGCATATACTGCACATCTATAATTTCAAGCTACATTTTTTAATTTTTTGGTATATTTGCCATATAACATGCACCCAATTTTTCACAAAGAAACCTAATACATACGTGTACAATGCTCTTATCTTTTGAGGTCACTTTTTTGAAGATTTCTCTTAGCCTTTCAAACAGTGGTACCGAAAACAATAAGGGGAACAACATATGTGTGGCTTGAACGTTTGAGGGAGTAAACGTTCGTGCAAAAAGGGTGGATTGTATTCAATGCAAATGCCCAAAAGAAAGCTATTTTAGGGTTTTGAGATAAGGGGTATATAATTTTAAGTATGAATACACTTCCAACCTCAATGAATTCACGGAATTAAGAGTTAGATGTTTTGTCTTTCTGTAGTCATTTGAAGGTGCGATTTTGAAGTGAAAAATCAAAAGCTTTAGTAAATTGCACTTGCTTTAGTTGAAATACAGTTGATCTAGTGTTCCTTTTAGTAGTAATGTCTCTCATGGGGGGGGAAAAAAAAAAAAAAAAAAAAAAAAAAAAAAAACAGTGCTGGTTTCAAATGCAAAGCCACACATTTGGTGAAAGATAATGAAAATCGTGCTGTAGTAAAGGTGATTATAATTTCTTTATGGATCAGAGTAACAATGATGGTGACGACAAAACAGAATTCGATGATGTGCCTGAGGATATAACAGAAGATGAAGATGACGAACTTTTCATGCTACCCAATAATGAAAATTTTTAAGTTCATAAGGTGTGTCATTTCTTTTAAATATACAGCATTTAGGTACACACAGAAAACAAATTTTATGTCATTCCTTATTTTTAAATCTATCATTTTTATTTGTGAAGCACCCATTAATTTTGATCTTATTTTTTGTATTGAAAGTGTGCATTATATGTCGGAATATATGGCGTGTATATATATATATATATATATATATTGGACATAAAAAACAAATTAAAACTCATGCAGCCAGCCAGTTCAACTACCATTTTTTTAAATTATAATTACTAGTATTATTCTGTTGCTGTTGTTTGTAATTATTAGTATTATTCTGTTGCTATTGTTTCTGTTGCTGTTATTATTCTGTTGCTGTGTTTCTGGTTTTACTTATCAGACTATAGGTGAAACAAAATTTCACAGAAATTTCTTCAGGAAATTGTTACACTTTCAAAAAATTAAAGAAAAAATATATATTTAAAATATATTAATATAAATCATCAAAAAATCTAGCATACAAAAGCATGATATTATAGTTAATATGAGTGATAAGTAAAATAACAATGGCAAATACAATTAAAAACCAGTATTTACCTTTATTAACAAATGCATCACTTGTAGTAAACTAAATAAATATAACATTATTTTTAATTTTAATAAATAACTATATTTTTAACGGCACTGAATTTAAAATAAAATATAATATTTACCTGCACATGATTAGCATCTGTGAATTGTAAACCAAAATAGTCTTTTTCAGTCAGATCTATGTGGTAAAATACTTGTTCATACAAGGCACTGCCCAAGTCTTTTTTCTGCAAGGTGGAGGAAAACAAAATGATTATTACAATTCATTTTGAAGGCAATTATTTCAGCAAAAAGAATGCCACTTTTAAAAGGCAGAAAAATGAACATGAAATAAGAATAACCTTCTTTTAAACAGAAATATGGTATAATGTATTTCAGCTCAAATATTACTAATATTTTCCTTTAAAGGATTATACAGTCAAAAGTCGTTAATTCGGACACCCATAATTCGGAATAATCTATAATCCGGACCTCAAAGCTAAAAACTTTCTGCGCATGCGCTGCGTTGACTCATGCGCATAGGCGTTTACGCGTGCGCGTAAGACCTTTTACGACTGCGCATATGAGTGTGTGCAAGCGCAGAATACGTTTTTGCGTGCGCGTTTTATGTATAATGGACGGTATAAGCTAAAATTATCTAATTATCTATTTCAGTTAATGTTGACGATTGCGTTGTTCCTTAATTTTCGAATTGGATCCGGCTTATTATTTTTTGTAGACTGTAAGAGCAATACTATAGAAATAAACTTGAACTTTCGATTATGTCAAATAGAATTTCCGATTCTGGAGCTCCCAAATGATCGTACAAAACAAAAGTATGTTTCGATGTTCATCAAACAAAAAGCAGAATTGCTGCAAAAAATGGATAAAGACATGAAGAATATGACAGAGAGGTTAGTGAAAACGAAAAAATTTTGATTGACAAATTAGTCGGTATTCTCGGCACAGCAATTAACGGGACTTGAACAGTGGAACTTTGTAACTGAACAAGAAATTATGTCTGTTTATAAAATTAAAGAGAAAGTATTATCACATAAAACAAAGCAACTTATATTGAAAGAAATGTTTAATAAAGTAAACAAATAAATATTAAGCTTTTTTTTTTTTTTTGTAAATTTTGATACCCCTTTAGATCATAATTGTTCTTTATTTCATAAATTACGGTTTCATATTTTTAATTTTAGAATTTCTGCATGCCATCTTACGAGATTTAAACTGATGATCTATAATCCGGAAAAATCGATAATCCGGAATCGCCGAACTGCCGACGAGTCCGGATTAACGACTTTTGACTGTATTTCTTTTTTAAATGCAAATTAAATCCATCCTACAAAAATAACACCTTAATGTATTGCTACAAAATATTACACAATTAAAAATACTAAAGTACATAAATTGCATTTCCTCAACCATAAAACAGTATTTTCATTAAAATACCCTTTTTGAAATCAATAATCGTTTTATAGGGGCAATATAATATTTAAAGAAAGTTCAGGGGCTGCAATACTGGCACATCAAAACTATGAATTTTGATTTATGACCTTCCCAACACCGTAAAATAGTCTTTTTTGAAGCAGCAGCACTTGCACATAGTTTAGTTGAATACTGCACCAACAAATGGCAGTAGTGTTTTTGTTGCATTTTTTGTTTTCTTATGTACACTGGCTGCAATTGCTGGCACATTTCAGTTTGTGCCAGACGCTCAGTTTGCCCATCACTTGTCTCATGTGGTATAACACTTACAGACTAAAAGCATGGAACGAGATTATGTTAACTTGTTAATTGAGAAAAATGTGAAATGAGCATTGAAATCAACTCCACCTATGCTCCATTACATCTTTAATTAAAATGGCAAAATGTAATAAATGTAATAAAGCAAGTCTTTCAAACTTCTGGAAATGGGAAATGATACTTTTCACCATTGAAGGGATGTGTTAGTTGACTTCTGGATTTTGATGAAGAAGCATGAACAACATTAAGCAAAAAATACAATTTGTGCCACACACAGAAAAATAATTTGTGCCAGGAGCACTGTAGCAGCCTTTCTCTCCCAGCGGACCCACCAGAAACGACTCAGAGAGGAGAAGTTTGTGATGTAAAAAAGCATACATGTGACATGCTCCTTTTGCTAACTGGCTGATGTGGCGCACCTCTCGTTCGTATGACTGAAATGCTACACAGACTACATTGCTTGAGTACAAACTTTTACTATATTTAATGCTTTGTATTATGCACATGTTTCTACTGCATCTATGACTTGCATATATCTTTTTTACATTTTTATATCATGCATATATTTTTATATACATGATATATATCTTTGTTCCATGTATATATTTTTATTTTCTGTATTTCACTCAGTTTGCATTATATCATCATTTTTTGTATATATTGTAAATATTTATTATAATTTGTAATCTTGTCTTCATCACCAGAAGCACACTCTGAAGCATTTAGCTGGAAGAGAAAGGCTACTACAGTGCTCTCTGCCAAAATTATTTTTCTGTGTGTTGAATAAATCATATTTTTATTCTTAATGCTGTCTATGCTACTCCCTTAAAATACAGGGGTCAGATCAACTAATGATCCCCTTCAGTAGTAAATAATAACAATAACACTGTACACTTCAACAATATTTCTATACTGAAAGTATAAAAACAATCACAGGATTACTTTTCCTATAAGACACTTTTTAACGAAACAGATTTTAAAACTGTCAGTGTGAAAGCCTCCAGATGCATTAAAAATTTACAGTCTTTTCAGGAAGCAACACTGAAAAAAAGGATAATCATGTCGCATGCGATCTACTGTTTTTAGTTAATTATTTATTTCTTAGATGGTGCCACTAGGATGCAATTTTTAAATTCTAATATACAATTAAATGGCAGAAACAAGAAATGATTCAAATAAAAACCGATTTTAGTGCCACCACCTAAAAGAGCAGTAGATCGCTTGCCGCACGATTACCCCTCCCCAAATGCTTACAACAACCATCTTTCAATTCTAATAAGAAATTAACGATATACAAAGTTTAATCACCAGTAGCAATATCCAAGCTGCTATTTAACATTTTATATAAGGTAACCAGACGTCCCGATTTAGGCAGGGCAGTCCGGATTTCAGACTACATGTCCCGAGGTCCCTCGCTTGTCCCGGAGGGACGCCTGTTTATTCCGCTTTTCTGTAACGTCAATTAACTCGAATTGGGCGCGTGGTGACGCCTCGCTGATGTTTGCTTCGATAAAGCTATGATGTCATCAGTCAGAAACGCGAGATGGCGCCCGCGTTGGTGGCTAAGGCAAGAATATATATTGTTGTTCTTTGGCTAAGGTGGTTTGTGCGCGCGATTATTGTGTTTCGGTGGTTATTTATTTTTTTCTTATGTGAGTGACATTACCCGAGGCTCCATTAAGCCTATGTGATGCCAAAACGAAAGTCGAAATTCAAAGAGGAATTACAAGGCAAGTTTCTATTTATAAAAAAAGGCTAGAAGCAACACCGATAGTGACGTGAGGTGCGACAAATGTGGATCACATTTCTCCGTCGATTATAGCCGGCGTGGAGATATGAAGCATTTGTATACGGATCGTCCCCAAAACGTCCTGAAATTATCAGCATCGCCAGGTACAATTACGAACTATTTTTCAAGATCTGAGTTAGGGGAAAAGAAAGCTCGGTTGGCTGCTACAGAAGGCACCTTTGCGTACCACACGATTTATCACAATCACAGCTTTAGGTCGATGGAACTGTACTTTTCAAATTAATAAAAAAGTGTTTTAATCCAAAATTCACTTGCGCACGAACAAAATGTGAAGCCATTGCCACGAATGTTCTGTGTCCATATGTAATGAAACAAGTTAAGGCAGAATTACAAATGTCTCGAATCTTGTGACAGTGTCTACAGACGCGTCGAACCATAAGGACGTCAAGCTATTTCCTGTAATAGTGAGATATTTTGTGCCACTGTCAGGTGTAAAGGTGAAAATCCTGGACATGCAATTTCTTTCTAGAGAAACAGCACAGACGATTTGCAATCTTCTTGTAAATGCATTACAACGCCATGGTCTGACAAGAAAGGTTGATGGCTTCTGCGTACACAACGCTAACAGAAGTTTCGGGGGATTAAAAAGAAGAGGTAGAAACAACGTTTTTGCAATATTTACAAGATACTCTCGAGAGAAAAGTGCTAGGTATTGGTTGTGTTGCTCATATCGTTCACAACGCAAATCAAACAACAGCAATTGTTATGAAAGTTTATTATTATTTCTATATCTACACTGTTCGTGTTGAGTCATTCAAAGAATTTTGCGACTTTGTCTGTGTAGAGTACAGCGCATTTTAGGATATGGGAAAACTAAATGCTTGTCACTAATGCCTGCAGTAGAGAGAGTTTTTTGTTTCCTGCAATTTTTTGTCGGAAGAGAAGTGCCCCACCCTAATCCGCAACTTTTTTTAGAATCCCTGTGCTGAATTGTGGCTCTATTTCGTACATAATATCGCTGCGGTATTTCAAGCGGCAATTCTGCAAATTGAAGCACAGACTATAACAGCATTGGAAGTCTCTTCTGAACTGGATGATTTAATACATAAATGCACTGAGAGGAGCGGAAAAACCTTTTTTTGCCAAATGAAGTACGTATGCGGATTACCCAATTAGAAGAGGAAGGATTGGTGAGAAAAAATGACTTTATAAGAACCATTGTAAATTTTTACAACTGTGTTGAATATCTGAAAGAGAGGCTAAATGCATTTAGTTGGATTGCGTTAAAGGAACTACCGTCGTGGGAAAAAGTACAAGAGAGCTTGCAACTTTTTGGGTGGAAGATTCCGAAGTTTGACAACGATGATGACGAGTTATTTGACCAAACAAGCTACATTAGGAAATTTACTTCACCACAAAAGATTGCAGATTGGAATTGTAAAAAAAAACTAGTGTCGGCTGTCGATGGACTGAAACTTTTCGTCATTTCAAGGATAAAAACATGCCATGTGCGCAAATTCATAAAACTGTGGAGTTTTTGTTGGGTTTCCCCAGGGACAAACGCCGCCAGTGAAAGAGTTTTCTCCTGTATGAATATCATATAGACAACTGAAAAGACACAGTTAAAACTGGAAACACTACAAGCAATGTTAATGGTGAAGTACAATTTTGAGTTTGGCAGTTCCTGTGATGAAGTCTATGAGAGACTTCTACAAGAACCAAAACTTCTTAGAAGCATTTATTCGT